AGAGTGAGTTGGCGACCAGCTGGGCTCGACCGCATCCTCTAATGTATATAATTTTTTTTTACTCCAGGGGGTCTGGGGGAGGGGGGCTGTGGGGAGCCTGGAGTAATCAGGGTTGAAACTCACTCCATTGAGTTTCAAACCCTTATGTGCCTAGCGGGTTTCGAACTCGAGACCTCCCACTAGACACGATAACCTCACAACCAGATGGGCTGGAATGCTTGGTTAAAATCATTTAACTTAGCACTTCTCTCCTTCACAATTTTGGATTAATGAAGTTTATACATTAATGATTAATGTATACATTTTCGCTCCTGGACCTCTGGGCTATATTCTGAGTATCTTTGATCTTGGCCGATGGAGTGCCATCTGGCCAATGGAGTGCCATGTGGGTGTCAGTGTTCTGTGTTTGATCCTCTTGAGTATGTGGGTCACGGGGTCTGGGCCCATATACTCTATATACTCTATCACACGTCTCTTCCTTTGGATCACTTCACCGAGCATAGGTGCAAATAACAAACTTTAGCTTCAACCTGAAATGGTGGGCCCCAACTTAATTGATTATTGGCGTTATTAGCTTCAACTTGAGTATAATGAAGCTATCTTTAATTCAATAATTTTTATTTTCTCAATAACTGCGTACAGTCAAATTTCGAGTAAAATTTTTGGAGGGAAAGACTAACAAGCCTAAACTGTGGCTTTTTCTACTTTTATCTCCGAAAGGCAATTCAGTTCCATAACCGATATAACAGATCCATTTCAGCTACAGTCGGGATACCTTCAAAAAATTTCGAATGCTAAACTGTTGCTTTTTCTACTTTTGATTGTATGCTTTTTTCATTTTGAACTGTTTCATTTAATCTCTTGTAACTTCCTTATTTTTAATAAATTTGGGTAGTGTTACCCGGCACTCCCTCCACCATGTGTGGTTTACTCCGGGACAAAAAAAAAAGACTAGCAAGCCACAAATAGGGGTGGGCAAAAATACCGGAAAATCGGTATACCGCATTTAACGTACCGAAAAATACCGAAAAATACCGAAATATTGGTATACCGTCATTTTCGTACCAATTTATTTTGGTACGGTATGATACCGTACCAATTTATTTTGGTACGGTAACAGTGAATGTTTCCAAATACCGTAGTATACTGGTATAATACCATACCGACTCCCAACCCAACAATTACTTTAAATTCTAAAATATTGTAAAAGTCCATTACAATTTTGAAGATCACAATTAATACTTAGGTAGTTACAAATACTAAAATACAAAATAAAGGCCCAATTTCCCAAACTCGATCACTATAACCATCTAGGCTTCTATTGTGTAACATTCAAACAAACTTACCCTAATGACTAACGGGTAATGTACTAATGTCCAAAAACCAATCCATCTTATTCCATGAGCTTGCGATTCACGATGGCTGAGCCGATGAGTAGCTGACGAGTGAAGAGGGATACACTTATGTGAGAAGTGTATCTACATAGGGAATTCGTGAGTCAAGACACACAACTTTGTCTGAAAGTCTTATTATTCAAATATTTTTAAAATGGGAAAAACGCACATTTGGTCCCTCAGTTATCCCCAGATTTAAAATGTCAGACCCCAATTTCTAAAATTTCAAATTACACCCCCGAGTTGACCAAATTACATTAAATGTGGTCCCCGCCGTTAGAAGTCCACTTAACAGAAGCTGGTGTTCCATTTTTTGAGGGGCGAAGGCGTAAATTACTTCCCTCAACGGTTAAAGACCTAATTTCATTTCAACCCTTATTACCTTAACTCTTTATGACGATTATTACTCCCAACTTCATTACCGCCAATACCTCTCTGAAAACGAAGCTTGCGTTGGACATGGGTTTCGTTTTTTTAAGGTTAGCTTGTTTGAAGGTTTTCTGAATACGAAGCTTGCTGTTGAAGGTCCAAGCTGTGACGGGGGAAGGGGGAAGGATGACCAGTCGAAGATTAAATGGTTTAAATGCCACTCCGAAGTGTAAGTCCCATAACCAAAGTTTTATATTGATAAGTTTTGTAATGGTAAAGATACTGACATATGTGGGTTCTATAGTATCCGTAGTTGACGTGCATGTATGATTATGTTTTAAATATTGGTGTTGTTGGTTATGCTTTGTATATAAAAATGGGACTATGGCTTTGTGTGGTTGATTACTCTTTGATTGTATTTGTTGTAGTTTGTGTTTGTAAAAAGTATTTGATGAGTAATGAAGTTTTTGGTTTACTTGATATGCTTTGTAGATACTAAGGATGAAAGCCATACTTACACAATCAAAATGCATTATGCTGGAACTTTGGTGCATGAACCTGTGGTGCAATATAAGAATGGGAGAGTAGAGTACTTTGATTACTTCAATGGAGAGGAGGCAAGTATGTTAGAGTTAAGAAAGTTAGTGAAGAAGCTAAGGTTCTGCTCCAAAAAGGTTACATTTTGGTTGAAATATGGTTCTGGAAAATTTCCTTGCGTGAGAACAATAAAGACTGATGAAGACCTCTATAACATTTGTTATGAGCTGCCAGAAAATAGGGAGATAGAGATGTTCGTGGAGCATATGGATGAGGATCAATGGGACTACGATGTTCAAGTGTCTTCTTTCATTCCAGATGAGCTGGAAGAGATGGATTACTATAATGATGACAGCAACTCAAGTTCTACATCAAAGGGAGAGACATTTGAAGATAGCATGTTTTCTGAAGGAGGTGAAGAGAAAGATAGAGACTCTGCCACCAGTGCCATGAACAAGAACCTAGACTATGACATATCCCATAATTGGTCAACTCGGGGGTGTAATTTAAAATTTCAGAAATTGGGGTCTGACATTTTAAATCTGGGGATAACTGAAGGACCAAATGTGCGTTTTTCTCTTTTAAAATTATAAAAATGACTAAATACACAATATCATATTAGAGATAAATGATTTTGTATCCATGTTGTTTGAATAATTTCATTTACTATTGTTAGAGATCAGAATTCATTTAACTTTATCCATATTGTTCAAATTATTTTAGGAGAATGTGTTATTTTTTAAATACGTCACATTTTGAACTGCTTATATGTACTAATAATAATAATTATTGTTCAATATTGAATTTGACATCAATAGATTATTAATTGTATTTTGTAACATTTTAATAATGAATTAAATATGTCACTAGTAACACCGATTTAGTATATTTTGTTAGTCTATGATATTTTGTTGTATTGTGAGACGTGCACGGTAATTTACCGATACAGTACCGTTACTAAACCGAAACTTCAGCATACCAAAGTACAGTATACCGAAACTTCGGTAAGGTAACGGTATAAAAATTTTGTATACCGAAAGTTTTGGTACGGCAAAGGTATAGTGAGAAATATTCGATATACCGTAACGAACCACCCCTAGCCACAAATAACACTTTGTAATTATACACGTAATGTGATTTACTAAAACTAACATTCTAATCAGGGGCGAAGTCAGGGCACTAGACAAATATAAAAAATATTTTCAAAAACAAATTATACCGAGTTATTTCCATTATAAATTAAATCATTTTTTAAATTTGAGGTTAGACCGGACCTAGATTGGTCCTCCTTTAAGAGCTCATTTGGTGATTCTGTTTTTGAGCTTATCAGCCAACTTATTAACAAACACATAACTTTTGGTTTCGCATGCTGAATTGTGTAATAAAAAAGTAAAATTGGAGTTACTTTTTGGTTGTATTTGCTGTAGTTATTGTAGATGACTGTTTTTGCTAATTTGTCATATATATTTTTTTGCTTTATTTTAAGGAAAAATTGAAAATAATAATCCCAATTATTGCCGGTCCGCTGAAAAAAATCCCAACTATTGATTATTTTTGTATAATCCCAACTATATAGACTATCCGCCAATAATGGTCCATGACCATATATTACCTCTATAAAAAGTGAATTTTAAATAGAAATTAAGCGTAAATATTAAAAGTTGAGATTATTTAGAGGGATTATTTGTTATATCTCACCCCATCCACTTTAGAAACTACAAAAATTTATTCATTGGGACCATTATTGGCGGAAGGTCCCTAAAGTTGGGATTATTCTGTAAGAATCAATAGTTGGGATTATTATGAGCGGACCGCCAATAGTTGGGATTATTACTATCAATTTTTCCTTATTTTAAAAATAAGATATATTTCAAATATAATTTTTTCATAATTCAGCAGAATTATCCAATACAGTCACTTCAGCTAGAATTTCATAAATTTTAACAGAATGAACTGATTTCAGTGTTACCCAATGCGCTCCAAAAGTCCAAATCCGCCTATTATTCTTTTTTTTTTTGATCGTAAATCCGCCTATTATTCTAATATAGTGCATTTAAGCATTTTCATTTTCTTACAGCTTATTTAGTGTTATGAGAATCACTAAAACTAAAGGAGTGTTTGGGTTTGCTTAAAAAAAGCGCTTTTCAGCTTTTGACTTAAGAAAAGTTGAAAAGAGTGTTTTCAAATGACAGCTTCTGCTTAAATTAATCACTTAAAAGCTGAAAGCTGGAAGCAGGTAGAAGGGTGCTTTAAACTGCTTCTCACTTTTTCTATTACACAAAAAGTACTTATTTTACCAAACACTACCAACTTTTACTTTTCCAGAATCACTTTTTTCTCAAACACTACCAACTTTTACTATTAATCACTTTTCCAAAAATCACTTAAAAAAATCATTTTTTTAAAGTTGAAGCAATTGCAAACACTCCCTAAATAATGTACGAAGTATCAAATGATAAAAAAAAAAGTATCAAATGATAAAAGCACAGCTTAAAATTTGTAAAGTTTGCAAGAGTAATAGTATCAATCCCAAAAATTTTAGTCATCCAATCAAAATGAATGAATTCCAAGATGAAAATCCTTCCCCAATTACGAATCAATACACCACCAACTAATTCATTTCATCAGCAGCCGACTTATGACAAAGAACTTCGAATATAAATATCACTCTCATTAGATGCTTAAACTCCAAGCAATAATCTTCTCCATAAACCCTAAACTCTCCTCTAAACCCACAGTGTGCACGTAGTCCAATAGTTGTATTAGTGAGAAGAAAAGAGTTATGGCGATAATCACATTCCCTGCGTCCTCTGTTGCTGCCCTGCCTCTCAAGTCTGCCACGAAGAAGCTCGCTAACGGCTCACATCCGGTCTTCGGAATGCTTCGTCCCCGCCGAGTCTTCGCCCGAAGATCGCTGCCGGGAAAAATGATCACTCCGGTGAAGAAACCGTCGAGACATGTTATCTCTTCCACCCGCTTTGCCTCGATTTCGTTCTCGGGGGACTGCTGTAACGAATTCGACTCCGATTGCGAGAGTTCTTGTTCTTCCACGGCCTCTAATCCTCGCCCTGAAGAAGATGATGATACTGGAAAGAAGGACGTCCCAATGTGGATGATTGTACCTAAATCCTCCACTAGTTTTGTTCTCGTCAGAATTCAGAATTAATTTCTTGGTTGTAATTAAAGTTCTAAATTCTTACACCTGAGTTCAGGATCGCCGATGTTTGAATTTCGGTTTTAATTTAGATTACCCAACCTGAATAGTTTGTACAGAACCCGATTTATGTTTGACAATTCATTAATTGAAAACTTTCTGTTCATTTAATCACTTATACTCTTAGTTAGTTTGCATTATCAATAATTATTTGGAGAAGATATTCTTAGCCGTTATTGTCATTCCTTTACAATTTATAACTAGTCAATTCACCCGTGCGTTGCACGGAGAACAAATGACATCAATTTATTTTTACAAATAATTTATTTCATGAGTAATGTGTATATACATACTTATTGTCTAAAAATAAAAACATGATAGAGAATTATATTAGAATACATGTATGATAATTGTTAGTCTGTTAGAGATACACCAATTAGTATAAAACTACCAAATAAGTATTCTTTCATCCCTAACATATCTTGTCTAATGAAGATGATAACAATTGTTATCGTATTACAATCTCATACGTAGTATTATTTAGTTGTAATTATGATGATTATTCAACACATGACATTACTTTTTACTATCTTTTTGTGTTTTAAAGTTTCTAAATATATTCCATCTAAAAAGTGAAAATATTTATTTTATACTCCATAATATCTCTTCATTCATCTCAATATATGCTTTATAAGAGCTACAAATCAAGATTGTTAAAATCACTATATGTTTTTATAAGAACGACATATAAATATTGTTAAAATCGCGACTTGAACCGTAAAGTTGTATAATTCAATATCATTGAACCAATTTGACTCGTAAACAAAATTGGAAATGCTAAAAATCATTTCAAAATTGGGAAACATTATTTAAAATTGTGATTTCAACGGATTTTTAAAATAGTTACTTATTTACTAATGAATAGTTATAGTAGAATTAAATAAATGAATTTTTGTATTTTATGTTGCAGCTAATTATAAAAACAATTACTCCCTCATCTCGTTAAATTGTGCTAACTTTATTTTTGCAACTGCCCCAACAAAAATTGTCATTTCCATTTAAACTAATAAATGTGCAGGTAAATTATTGTAAGTTTTACTTTATTTATATTCCACATGCAAGTCAATTCTGGACCCATTTAATGGGGTATTGAGTATTATCATTGTCCTTTATATAATATTTGTATCCAAATATATTTTAATACTCTATTTTATATTCTGAAATTAGAACATTTCATTTTTAACTTTATTATATTATGTCTCGTAATTGATTATGTATATGTATCTTTTCATATTTTTCTAATATTTTTTTAATATTTAATGTTTTTATGCTCAATATATTTTCTATAGTTTTATTTATAACTTACAACAATTAATTAGGTTGACATTTAATATGGCTTCATTAAGTAATGCTTCATTAATAGTGACAACAAATTTTCACTTCTTTTGGCTCCAAATAGATTTCTATTTGGATCTCCCCATGTTCTCTTTATATATATAAAGATACTCCGTAGTTATGAATAAAGGGCAAGGCCATTTAGGTATAATACGAAGTATAATAAAGGTAATGCTAACATAGTAGTTGCTGTGTAAACTCGCTAAGAAAGCTTTTCCGGTTTACCTAAAAGCTAAAATGTTATTAACCTAATATGAACCGGATGAATAAGTAATTAAAGTTATTTATTTAGTGAAATCAATGATTCTTCCCATGGTAGTGATTTCCGGTGATAAATTTAACACTGTATTTCTACTCAGTTCAGCCTCCGTGTGTGTATATCACTTCGACTGAAATTTGCTGGTCTGGTCTGGTCTGATCTGAACTGGTCTGGTCTGGTCTGATCTGAACTGGTCTGGTCTGGTCTGATCTGGTAGACGTCTGGTCTCTTTGTATTTTATAACTGTACAGGTCTGGTCTGGTCTAATTTGGTCTGTTTAAGTCTGGTCTGGTCTGGGACTGAAAACAGTCCAAAAGAAAACATCCTTATTAGGCCTGATTTCATTATTCTTATTTTTTTAATATGCTAAAATTGAAAAAGGTTTCGGTGATTAAGATTCTGATTCTTCCCTATCATAACTGGCTCGTACGGAGTAAGTTTGAATCTATCCTGGGCCCACCTCTATTTGGGCAGTACTCGTAAATCAAACAGATTAATCAGATGATCATTTGCAGTGAAGTCTCATTTATTTGTGAGTAACAACAACACATTTTGTCCCATTTTATAATGCTTGCCTTTTGTGTTTTGCAAATTATGTCTTGTTCATTAAAATTTCATCGATGTCTCTGTCTTTTTCAAATTATCATTTCTCGTTTTAGATTTAAAACTTGTTTGGAGTGTAGCCCTCTGTCCCAATTTGATGGTCTCATTTATTTTGGACACAAATTTTAACAAAGTGGTTAAAAAGGTAAAAGTTGTGATTGAGATTTGAGTAGAAAAAGGTGAAATGATGTTGACCACATCTTTCTTTCCAAAAAGGGAAACATGACCATCATTATGGGACATCCCAAAAAAGAAATATAAGAGCATCATTTTGGGACGAAGGGAATATATAGTTGGATGGGAAATGTGCATCGATCATAATCAATAACTCAACACAACTACTATTCAAGCTTTACTACTACTAATCATCTTCGACACTAAATTGTATCGTCCATTGATCGTAATTATTGATTAGGTTACGTTTTGATATTTTGACTCTTAAACGAAACATATTAAATTTTTAACTATACATAAAATTTTCAACCATATATAATATTCAAATTTCCGGCAAAAATACTCGAATGAAGGCCCGAATTTCACTTATACAATCCACCTTAAATTACTTTTAATTTATTTCTGTCATCAATAATTATTCCTTCAAAAGCTAAAAAAGAAGTGGGTAAGGGGATAGAGGGTTCAAATATACAAAAGCTTTATCCAATGTGGTGGCTCCTTGTGTACACCACGATCTGAATCACCTCACTCAGAAATCGGTTAGAGATCATACTGTGACTTACTCCTCTACCTTTTTAATTAGTCGGGGTGTGTGTCACGCCCTAGAGTGCATCTTAGCGCGTGTACAACCGCCGTATGACCGAGTGACATCACTCGCAAGTCGACATCACTCGCAAGTCAACATCACTTAATTATACAAGACGTCCATGAACACAGTCCATATCATACTCAGAGATATTTGGATTGAATGAATAACAGAGATATTCAATAATCAATCATGGGCCACACATGGCCAAAACGTGGGCTCGCAGACCCAAAACAATGTATTCATTACATAAAATTCATGAGCATAGTTTATAGTTTGAAACAGTAAAGGAAGCATGCACCACATTGATAAAGTATTAAATCTTAGAGAGAAGTGAAAGCTAGAGAGAGAAGGTGAGCAATTAATATTTCTCAACCCTCTATAACTACCCCTAGGGGACTGTTTATAGGGGAAAATGTGGAATTGAGATCCTAGCCTTGGACTTAGAAGCCCATTATAATAATAAGGCCTCTAATAGGCAGAGTACATGATAAATTTGGCCAAGTAAAAACACCTATTCTGTCAGAGTAGTTCTGGCCGACGGAGGACCCATTTCGCTCCTGGGCCTCTGAGCTATATTCTGAGTATCTTTAGTCCTGGCCGATGGAGTGCCATCTGGCCGACGCGGGTGGGGTGTCAGTCTTCCGCGTTTGATCCTCTTGAGTATGTGGGTCACGGGGTTTGAGCCCATATACTCCATCACACGTCTTCCTTTGGATCACTTCATCGGGCAAAGGTGTAAATAACAAACTTTAGCTTCAACATGAAATGGTGGGTCCCAGCTTGATTATTTGTGTTATTAGCTTCAACTTGATTACAATGAAGCTATCTTCAACTCAATAAATTTTATTTCTCAATAACTGCGTCCAATCAAATTTCAAGTAAAATTTTGGGAGGGAAAGACTAGCAAGCCACAAATAACACTTTATAATTATACATGTAGTGTGATTTACTAAAACTAACACTCTAATCTGGGGCGAAGTCAGGGCACTAGATTAGTACAAAAAATATTTTCAAAAACAAATTATACTGAATTATTTCCATTAAAAATTAAATCATTTTTTAAATTTGAGGTAAGATAGGACCTAGACTTCTCCTCCTCTAAGAGCGCGTTTGGTGATTTTGTTTATCAGCTTTATCAGACATTTTTTTTTAACCAAACACATAATTTTTGGTTTCGCATGCTGAATTATGTAATAATAATAAAAAGAAAAAGTAAACTTGAAGTTACTTTTCTTATTGGCTGAAATTACTCTTTTTTTTGAAAAAAAATTCATTTTTTTGAATTAAAAATTTATTGATGAAACTAGAAGTGAAGTAAAAGATGGGGGGGACTAGGTCTTACACAAAGAAAGACTGGAAGAGCAAATAATTGTAATCGAAAAAGCCCATGCCACATAGGGAGGGCTAGTAGCGAGGGAGTGCCACAAGGGTTGGGTCTCGGGTTCGAATCCCGGCAACTGCGATGAGGGGTTACTATGCTGAAAAATGCATAAGGCTTCTGCAAGTACCGGGGACAGAGCCCCACTCTCTATCTGTCAGATTATGATTATTGTCCAATTTACATCCTCGCATCGTACCGTCCGGTCGGTGTTGGGGGGCCCTCAGGGATGGGGTGTCATCCTTTTTTGAGAAAAGGGGAAACGGGTCCCCAGGCTGGCAATGTACAAAAACTGTAGTGCACAAGATGCCGGAACCTGAAAGTAGGTGGGCCGCCCCTTGCTGTCCCGGCCCCCCGCTATTCCGTAGAAGATTCCCAGTTGCAAGTCGTTCCCCGGCTCTCCTGGTGGCCGCCTGGCTGGTGCTGAAGACAAAAGGTACCCCGGACTTCACCCCTATCGACGGTCGTAGTCCCTGTTCGTTCATCTGGTGGCCATTAAATTATGTGATGACACCTTCTTCTCCGGCATACTGAACCAAAGAAGAGTCACCTTAAGCCAATGAACCATGGCCGCACTGCCAATCCCCTGAAACCTTTCTCCAGGAGGTCGTACCCTGTGAAGATGCTGTTGGTTGTGAACCCCATCTTGACCAGACTTGGGCATTGCCAGTCCTTAGCCCCATCTTGGACCCCTGGTCATCTAACATCGCGGCTTGCCGGAGGTCTCCAATCCTTCAATCCGTCGCCAAGACCCGAACGCCGTCGAATATTGCCTTCAAACATATGACAAATCCTTGTTCGTCGCTCCCCTCTAGTCCATCTCCACCTTGGAGTCTTACAAAAGATCCTTCACACGACCAAAAATGAAATCTGCCCTTAGACTCCGGCTAAATCACCCATTTCCTTGATGTTCATCCCCCTGATCGATACTCGTAAATAGCCCAGAAAATAATGAGATCGAAAATGATAATGAAAAAGATCCTCCGGCGGACTCGCCGGCGATGTCGCCGGTAGAGCCGCCAGAAATATCTCCTCTTTCTTCCTCCCTCTATCCAAGTGAGTTTGGCTGAAATTACTCTAGATGACCATTTTATCTATTTTTCATATAGTATTTTTCTTTATTTTATCAATAAAATATATTTTAAATATAACTTTTTCATAAATCAGCAGAATCAGCCAACACAACTACTTTAGCCAGAACTTCATAAATTTTAGTAGAATCAACTGATTTCAGTGTTACCAAATGGGCTCTAATCTTCCTATCATTCTAATATAGTGCATATAAGCATTTTCAATTTTTTACAACCTATTTAGTGTTATGAGAATCACTAAAACTAAATAATGTACGAAGTATCAAATGATAAAACACAGTTTAAAATTTGTAATGTTTTCAAGAAGAGGAAAGTGTCAATTGAGTACACCAACTTGTATGAGGTGGAATAAAGAGTACATTATATTGTATTTGATATTTTTAAGTACAAAATTTCTTTAGTGTTGATTTAGTACACTTGTTAGATTAACATGTTAATACTGCTGAGTTGGCTAATGGAATGTTGAATAAGAAGGGTTAATAGATCAAGGTTATGGTGCCGACCTTCACGGAGTTGACCAAAAAGGGTAAATCGACATTTGGAGGTCGACCTGCGGGGGGCGTCAGCCAGCAGGGGTGCATGAGTGCATCGACCAAGGAGAATTCGACCAGTGGGGGAGTAGGGGAAGTCGATTAAGTGGTTGTGGGCTAGCGTCGACCTTCAAGAAGTCGACCTATTAGCATTCTGTAAGCCAACTCAGCCGTATTAACGTGTTAATCTAACGGATGTACTCAATTAACACTAAAAACCCGAATTTGTGTACTTAAAATGATCAAATGCAATATGGTGTACTCTTTACTCCACCTCATACAAGTTATGTACTCAATTAACCCTTACCTCTTTTCAAGAGTAATAGTATCAATCCCAAAAATTTTAGTCATCCAATCAAAATGAATGAATCCCAAGATAAAAATCGGTAAATTACATCCTACAGCCGGCTGTACCGTGCGCACGGTACAACCGGCCTTTTTTGGCTTTTGCGCTTCTTCCCCTCCACCAGATCCGGCTTCGCACCAAAGATTCTCACATGCTTCTTCGTTGAACACCGCTTCGTAGCCCTAAATTGATCCGTAGCGTGGCTCTGAATCGAGCGGAGAAAGATTGATGAGAGGAGAACGATCGGCTTCACAACGGAAGATTTTCACTGAGATTTAATACTCTCAGCAAAGTATTAAATTCCGCTGAAGTTAAAACCATTCACAAAACCCTTCTTACCTCATTATCACTCTCCACCGCACAAGCTGACATCCGTTTTGCAATTACAAGGTCCAACTACAACCATCCTGACATCCACAAACCCATTATGACAATTTTATATTGATGTTAAATATGTTATATATGATATTATAAAAATGAGTTTTATATTAAACCCAAATGAGTATAATGTCTTAAAAGAATGAGTTTTTATGTTAAACTCAAATGAGTGTCGCGCCCAAAATGAATGAGCATACACAAATGAGCTTTTGAATTTTTTGATACTCATTTTGTAAGTTATGTATGCTCATTTGGATTCGCTTTATACTCATTTTAAGAGGTTGCACATTTCAAACATATCATACTACATTAGAAATGAGTTTTATGTTAAATTCGAATGAGTATAACGTCCAAAATGAATGAGCACACACAAATGCGTTTTTGATTATTTTGATACTCATTTTGTAAGTTATGTGTGCTCATTTGGTATACTGTTTTATGCTCATTTTAAAAGGTTGCACATTTCAAACATATGATACTACATTAGAAATGAGTTTTATGTTAAATTAAAATGAATATAACGTCCAAAATGAATGAGCACACACAAATGCGTTTTTGATTTTTTTATAACTCATTTTGTAAGTTATGTGTGCTCATTTAGTATTGCGCTATACTCATTTTAAAAGGTTGCACATTTCAAATTTATCATACTACACTAGATTCACATATTGAAATTAATTGGAATTGATTATAGACATAACTTAAGACTTTTTAATAAACGAAAAAAATAATAAACAGAAAGTGATATATAAGGTATAAAGCAAAGATCACTCATGCTCATCGTTAGGCTCATAATATTCAAAAGAAGAGGCTTGATGCTCATCCAAATTGCACAAATGCTCCTTCGAGAGAATCCACAATTTTCATAAAAAATTACCAGTTTGCCACCGGCTGTACAGTGTACGAATTCATGAAAATCCTTCCCCAATTACGGATCAATAAACCACCAACTAATTCATTTCATCAACAGCCGACTTATGGCAAAGAACTTTGAATATATATATCACTCTCATTAGAATATGCTAAAACATTAAGCAATAATCTTCTCCATAAACCCTAAACACTCCTCTAAACCATAGTTCGTTACTTCGTTGTATTAGTGAGAAGAAAAGGGCTATGGCGATAATAATCACATTCCCTGCTTCCTCCGTTGCTGCCCTACCTCGCAAGTCTGCCACGAAGAAGCTCCCTAACGGCTCACATCCAGTCACCGGAATGCTTCGTCCCCGCCGAGTCTTCGCCCGAAGATCGCTGCCGCGAAAAATGATCACTCCGGTGAAGAAACCGTCGAGGCATGTTATCTCTTCCACCCGCTCTGCCTCGATTTCGTTCTCGGAGGACTGCTGCAACGAATTTGATTTCAATTGCGACAGTTCATGCTCTTCCACGGCTTCTTGCAGCTATCCTCCTAATCCTCGTCCCGAAGAAGATGATGATACAGGAAAGAAGGACCTCCCAATGTGGAGGATTGTACCTAAATCCTCCACTAGATTTACTCTTGTCAGAATTTGGAATTAATTAATTTCTTGGTTGTAAATTTGTAATTAAAGTTCTTAATTCATTCTCCCTGAATAGGATTTTGTGTAGCTGACTTTAGATCAGTCGTTTACTTTGAAGTTCGGTTCTTGCTTAGATAAATTATTCAACCTGAATACGTTTGTAAAGATACCGTATTATGTTTGACAATTCAATGATTGAAAACTTTCTGTTTAGTTATACTCTTATATACAAGAATGTTCAGGTAGAGCCTCCGTCCGAACACCGCTGTTTGGGGTGGTTCCCGGTGGAATTTTTTGATGAAATTTTTTGAGCATGTTCCTCATCAAGTCTAGTTTGTCCATACCAAATTTCAGCTCAAAATTCGATCGGGAAGGCATTCAAATCATTTTTTGAAGTTGACTGCATTTTTATATGTATATTGAGACGCAGTCAACTTCAAAAAATGATTTGAATGCCTTCCCGATCGAATTTTGAGCTGAAATTTGGTATGGACAAACTAGACTTGATCAGGAACATGCTCAAAAAATTTCATCAAAAAATTCCACCGGGAAGTGCCCCAAATGGCCATGTTCGTACGGCGTTCGGACCGGGGGCTGCTGGACATGATCATTCCTCTTGTTTTCATATCAATAATTATTGGGAAAACTGTTAAATATGTTCTCGAACTTTAAAAAAAAGTTAAATAAGTCTTTATATAGGAGACTTTGTCCGACCGTCGCAATTTGGGGCAGTTTCCAATGAAATTTTTTGATAAAATTTTTTAGCATCTTATTCATCAAGTCTAATTTATTCATATCAAATTTCACGTAAAACTTCAATCTGAGAGACATTCAAATTAATTGTAAAAGATAAGTAAGGGTTTTAAATTTGGTTGCTATGTGAATGATGCTGACAAGTGACAACCGAATTACCCAAGTATATCTCGATATATAAATACACTCCGTATGATGTCTCATATTTGCTGATTTGAGATTCTGATTGCCGCTCCTCGATATTCAAACTTTTAGTTTGTCGGTTTTGATACTTAATGATACTATTATAGAAAAATACACGGTAGATTCTAATGGTACCTATAAGGTACTATACCTTTGTCCACATGGACCAATGAAAATGTAGCGGTTGAATTATTTAAATCTAAATTAAAAATCATAAAGTGATGTGGTCCAATCAAATGAATGATAGGTACGGTACCCCATATTTTAGAAAGGTACCGGAGTTGTCACCAAAATACACAAATACCAAAAATGAATATTTCAATTGAAGCATATAAATGTTACTTCTATCTGGTTACAAGGAAGCTATCTTCAATAAATTTTATTTTTTTAATAACCGTAACTAATCAAATTTCGAGTAAATTTTTTTTGGACGAAAACACTAGCTAGCCACATATATCACTTTGTAATTATACACTCAAAGGTGGTTGAGTGTGGTTGGATTCGGATCTCAAATTCAATTTCCTGTCGGGCAAGTGTGAGAATTTCATCCAATGCGGTGACTTCTTGTGCGCACCATGCCGTAAACCACATCACTCATAAATCAGTTTGAGATCATACTGTGAGTTACTTCTCTACCATTCTATTGTGTCGGGGTGTGAGGACGCCTGAGATGGACAATTTCACCTTTTTGGATTGTAATTATATAAAGAGGATGATTCTCGTTATATTATCAAATGAGAAGACCTCATATATATACAATTACAGTGGAGGTAATTCATCTATCTACGTAACAATATGATAAGATCAGAAAGGATAGCAACTAACTAAGAGATAAATACAACAATAATAAGTGCCGATAATACATAAATGAATTATATTAATTATGCTTTAATACGCCCCGCAAGATGGAGGTGCCGTCAGAAACTCCCAGCTTGGACCGGAAGAAAAAAAATGGAGATCGACCCAGTGGTTTAGTCAAGACATCTGCTATCTGTAGTTTTGTAGATATATGCTGAACATTTAATTTTCCCTGTTCAATGAGATCCCGAACAAAAAAATAGTCCAGAGCAAGATGTTTCATGCGGGAGTGAAAAACGGGATTAGCACAAACATATGTGGCACCAAGGTTGTCACAGAAGAGGGTTGGTGTTGCTGGAATAGGTATTCGAAGTTCAGAGAGAAGATGACGCACCCATAGCAATTCCGCACTAGCATGAGCTACAGCTCTATATTCCGCCTCAGTAGATGAACGGGCCACACATTTTTGTTTTGCAGATTTCCAGGAGATAACATTCGGTCCGAGGTAGAGAACATAGGCAGTGGTGGATCTTCCTTGTTCATAAATATTACCCCAATCTGAGTCCGAGAAAGCAGAAATATGAAGGTTGGCAGATTTGTGAAGAACTAACCCATGGTTTAGAGTCCCTTTAAGATACCGCAATATTCTTTTGACCGCCTGCCAGTGCACGGTTTGTGGTTGATGCATGTGTTGAGATAGTTTGTTGACTGCAAAAGAGATATCTGGCCGGGTAAATGCTAAGTACTGAAGAAGACCAAGGGACCTCCTGAATTGGGTGGCATCCGTGATGGCATTAGTTGGCTCAGCATGCAAAGAAACAGAGGTGCTCATAGGAGTATCTGCTTCTTTTGCTCCTAGCATACCACACTCCTCAAGGACATGAATAATGTATTGCCGTTGTGTGAGAAAAAGTCCATGCGCATGAGGGATTACCTCAACTCCCAGAAAATGGTGCAGTGGTCCCAAATCCTTAACCGAAAAACGGGCAGTGAGTTGAGACACAAATCTTTCCAGAGATGGTGGACTGTTACCTGTTAAAACAATATCATCGACATACACTAGAAAATATAGAGTGACATCCTGATGAGAATAAATAAAAAGGGATGTATCCGCTCGAGATTTTCTAAAACCAACTGAGAGCAAAAAATTGGAGAGCTCCTGGTACCAAGCCCGGGGCGCCTGTTTCAAGCCATATAATGCTTTGCGGAGTCGGCAAATATGCTTGGGATGTGTAGAATCGACAAAGCCAGGCGGTTGCACCATAAATACCTCCTCAGATAGTGTGCCATGGAGAAAGGCGTTATTAACGTCAAGTTGACGAAGTGGCCAATTCCGTGCAAGGGCAATAGTGAGAATAATGCGTACTGTGGCAGGTTTAGTAACCGGGCTAAACGTTTCAAAATAATCACGTCCCGGTTGTTGAAGATAGCCACGAGCTACAAGACGCGCTTTGAATCGCGCAATAGAGCCATCAGGATGTCGTTTGACCCGAAAAAGCCATTTACATGAAATGGGTTTTTGAGTAGTATGAGGTACTAGTTCCCAGGTACAATTACGTTGAAGTGCCGCATATTCATCTTCCATGGCTTGTTTCCACTTCGGGTCACGGAGTGCTGCTCTCACACTGGTGGGTTCAAGTTGGACGGGTATAGGGTGAGTCAGAGTATTATTAAGGAATGGGCCTCCAATGTATTTTGGATTAGGATGGCGGTTACGTAAAGGACGAGTTTGGGGCTGTATGGGTAGGTTGGGAGATGTGATGGAGGGATTGGATGGGTTAGTGGTGGTGTATGGTGTCACGTGGGATGGAGGAGTATTATTCTGGGAGGATAATGATGAGGTAATATGGGGTGGAGTGGATACGGATGTGCTGGATGAATTAGGCTGAGTGTCAGGGAGAGTTTGTTGGGATAAGATTGGAGGCGGTGGGTTAGGGGGATTGGAGATAGAATTTGGTATGTGATGGGTATAGGATCGAAGTAGGGGATGTTCTGCCGAATATAGGGGCGACTTGGACCAGGCCGTTCGGTGGTGTCATGTGAGGAGGAGGACGCATTTAATTTATGCATGGTATGCATGACGTCAGAGATGGACCCCGGGTGACGGAAAGGAAATATTGTATGACTAAACCGAACATGCCGAGACACATAAAGACGGCCAGAGCGAGGTTCAAGGCAGAGATATGCAGATTGTGAGGTGGAATATCCAACAAAAATACACGGTTGAGAACGGGGTTGGAGTTTGGTGGTGGAATAAGGCCGTAACCACGGATAGCATAGACAACCGAACGGACGCAATTTGGTGTAATTAGGAACAACACCAAACAATTTTTGATATGGAGTACTATTATTGAGAATTGGTGTAGGATGTCGGTTAATCAAGTAGACCGCGGTTTGAAAGGCATAAGGCCAATATTTAATAGGCATGCCAGAGTAATGAAGCAAAGTGAGGCCGGTGTCAACGATATGACGATGTCGACGCTCAGCAATACCATTATGTTCAGGAGTATGCGGTGGTGTAGTATAATGAGATATACCATGACTAACTAGATAGGACTTAAGTTTGAGATATTCACCACCATTGTCACTAAAAAGTGATATAATGGGACGTTGAAAAAAAATTTCCACTAATTTATGGAATTGTGGAAATATTAATGACACTTCAGATTTTAATTTGAGTGGATAAAGCCATATGTAACGGGAATAAAAATCCACAAAAATTACATAATAACGGTAGCCATCATGTGAAACATCACTCGTACTCCAAACATCAGAATAAATAAGTTCAAGTGGTTGACTGGCATGCATGGTATTATTAAAGAATGGAAGTTTGGTACTTTTATTAATATGACACGAATTACAATGAGACACGGCAGTGTCATGACCTGAAATTGGAATAGTATTTTGACTGACTAAGAACTTGAAAACACGATGAGATGGGTGACCAAAAATATGGTGCCAGGCTGAGGAGCCCAAGGCTTGAGACAGATAAACTTGTGGTGACGAACGAACTGGTGCATAATACACATCATGATGATTCTCCCCTCGTAGTAGAGGCGCCCCCGTAATGCGATCCTTGACAACAAAATGAGAGGCAAAAAATTCAACAGAAACATTATTAGTTTGACACAATTTAGCAACTGACACAAGATTTTTGTGAATGGCTGGTACGCATAGAATATTAGATAAAGATAGAGGACGTGTGGGAGTGGGTAGGGTAGTTTTACCAGTGTGAGTGATAGCAAGTGACTTACCATTACCCAAGTGAACCTCATCTGGACCGCCATACTCAGAGTATGCCGGAAGCTGTGATGCATCGGAAGTGACATGGTGTGACGCGCCACTGTCAAATAGCCATGGCTGATTTCCCGGAGTCATAGTTGTTGTGTGCTGAATATTAGGAACTGCCGGATAGGGTATCTTATTATCACGCAAAAAACGTTGGAGTTTTCTGCACGCCTGAACTTCATGACCAAGATTATCACAAAAACGGCATATCACACTGGGAGTGGAACGTGAGGCAGATGGATGCATGCCCCCACGTCCACGTCTGGGGCCATTTGTGCGCCTATCACTTCCTGCAGAGCGTCGATCAGATTGAGGATTGGACCTTGGATTTTGATATGTTATGTTGACCGTAGGAACCAAAGGTGGAGCAGCAGCAGCTTCTTCATGTAGTTTGGCCTCACGTTCAAGGAGAATTGATTGAAGTTCAGAAATAGGAAGGGCAGTCTCCCTGACACGTATGGCTGAAGTAATATCACCAAACTCCGGCCCTAGACCATTCAGTACGTGAACAAGGAAATCTTGTTCCGAGACCGGATTCTGAGCCAAGGCAAGGTCATCAGCGATTGACTGCATCTCTGTGAGGTACTCGGGGATGCTCCGGGAGCCCTTTTTGGTGCGGGTCAGTGTGGTTTTAAGGGATATGACCCGGCCACGAGATGTACTGGCATACGTGGAATTGAGTTTGTCCCAAGCTTGTTTGGCGGTGAGAGCCGATGAAATGATGGGTTGGATAGTATCCGAGCAGCTACCAAGTAGTGCACCGATAATGGTTTTGTCCTGTCGATACCAGATAGTATAACAGGGATTAAGTTGTGTTTTTGCCATATCAAGAAATTGATCCGGTGTAATGATGGTTCCGTCAATGTAACCATCAATTCCCAATCCAATGAGAGCTGATTGGACTTGGCATTTCCAGACCGGAAAGTTCGTGGCCGTGAGTTTGATGGGAAAGTGGTTTGTGGCCGTGAGGGAGATGACCGGGGTGGTGGCGGTGATTGCCATAGCCAAAGGTGGAGAAAAAAAATTGGATCTAATTTTCTCGTGAGAGGAAGGCTCTTGATACCATAAAGAGGATGATTCTCGTTATATTATCAAATGAGAAGACCTCATATATATACAATTACAGTGGAGGTAATTCATCTATCTACGTAACAATATGATAAGATCAGAAAGGATAGCAACTAACTAAGAGATAAATACAACAATAATAAGTGCCGATAATACATAAATGAATTATATTAATTATGCTTTAATATTATACACATACTGTGATTTACTAAAACATCTTGCCGAGTCTTCGCCTGAAGATTCGCTGCCGGGAAAAATCACTGCCGTGAAGAAACCGTCGAGGCATGTTATCTCTTCCACCCGCTCTACCTCGATTTCGTTCTCGGGGGACTGCTGTAACGAATTGGACTCCGATTGCAAAAGTCTCTGTTCTTCCAAGGCTTCTTGCAGCCATCCCCCTGATTCTCGTCCTGACGAAGATGATGATACTGGAAAGAAGGATGTCCCAATGTGGATGATTGTCCCTAAACCGGCCACTAATTTTGTTCTTGTCAGAATTCGGATTAGTTTCTTGGTTGTAATTAAAATTCTTAATTCATACTCCCATGATTGAATTTTGTGTGGCTGACATTAGATCAGTCGTTTACTATGTAGGTTTAAGCAGTGTTTGCGGTTGCTTAAAAAAAGTGCTTTTCAGCTAATGGCTTAAAAAAAGCTAAAAAGAGTGTTTTCAAATGACAACTTCTGCTTAAATTAATCACTTAAAAGCTAAAAGCTGGAAGCAGGTGGAAGAGTACTTTAAACTGAATCACTTTTTCTATTACACAAAAAGTACTTATTTTACCAAACACTACCAACTTTTACTTTTTCAGAATCACTTTTTTCTCAAACACTACCAACTTTTACTATTAATCACTTTTCCCAAAATCACTTTAAAAAAATCACTTTTTTAAAGTTGAAGCAATTGCAACTTTAGTTGAACTTGGATTCTTGTTTAGATTATTGAATACTTTTGTATAGATTCAAATTTATGTTTAACAATTCATTTATAGAAATCTTTCTAATCACTTATATTATCATCCTTTGTGGATGAAATTGGAGATCTGATGTGACACCGCACCCGAACGTCCTTGAAAACTTGATTTTAAAATTCAAAGTTTATGTATTGGATTTCTGATTCCCAAACGATTGTAAAACGATTAATGTTTTACGTAATTAATGATCGATTATTGTACTGTTCGAACTCGTATATAAGTATCGGGCCTTATTAATAAATAAAAGAGCCTAACATTATCTAAATATTAATACATAACGTTTCAAGACAAGTTGAGGAAGGGCGGGCGGCCCAGATATTATTTTGGGCTCAACCCGCTAGAATAGCAAGTATTCGAGAATGGCGTCGTAGGCCCACTCGGGGGCGACCCACACGGCTTGTAGCCTAATAATATGAATGGCAAATGTCAAAATAAGTGATAGGATGATTTGAGAAGAATACAAATGCCTATAACCCCATCTTTGACATTATTGAGCTAAATAATGGGAGTAGGGTTTTTCTTCTATAATATTCATCATGTAAATTATTGGGATGATCATACACATATTGGAGATCAATAATATGATGTAGAGAGTTGACTTGTTCCAAATAAATTAGAATGAGTACAAAGAGACATCTTATGACAAAGAGATCAAAAGTGAGACCCACCCATGTCTAAAAAACATCTCATGGAGACCATACCAATTCATTTCACTCCACACAACTTATCCACCCTTATTGAAGGGTCTTGGACACTCCCTTAAGCCCCTCATTCGAACTCCCAAGGATAAGGGAGAAAGAGAGAGCCACACAACCAAGAAAGCAAGAGGAAGGGGAAGCTGCCGCAGGTTCGTTTTCCAGTGCGTAAGGTTACTTGTTTGCTTCATATCTCGAGCTATACACATCCAAATAAGGCGTGAGAGATACCCACAGAAAGCTCTCAAGACGAGGAATCCGTGAAGGTCTGGTTTGCATCAATCGGAGTAGTGGAAGGCTTTCAAATCGTCCGAGCAAAACACAACCTCGCGGAATACGTTTTTGTATTCAAAGTAAGTTTGAATCCAAAACCTTCCTCTCTATTGTCTAAACCATATAAATGATTGAAGAACTATTATACACTGATTGAAGTGTATAAAATGTTATTATAAAGTGACTTTAATTGTTGGAAAAGTTAGATACTAATCTAGACAAAACCTTGAAAGGTTAGGGAACGATTTCGTCGGGAAACACCCGTTCTAGGGACTGTTTTTGTGTCTTCGGTTAGGAGTTGAACTAGCACTTTGAAGAGGCTGTTTAACACTCAATTCCAAGCAAGGAATCAGTCCTCAATCTTTCTTGGCCGAGGCTTTGGTCATTGGATCGAGAAGGAAAGTTTTAAAGCTCATTTGAGGTGAGGATGACCGACTATATTGTTTATAATCTTTGGGTTAATTTCATAAGATTACCTAAAGTAATTAAATGTGATTTTCATAGGTTATTAATGATTAGTAATGCCTAAATGGAAATATTATGGTTTGTGAATAGAAGATGCATAACATACAAGTTTATGAGAAAATTGTGTATGATGATGCATTACAAATATGATGGTATAATGATTGTGCAAACCATGAATTTATGTGATAAAATATACTTTTACTTCATGTGTAGAAATCATGAATGGATAAAAGTGATATTTTTATATTGAGATTAAATCCTACACGGAGTGGAAGATCCGTAGGAATGAGCCTTATAACAATGAATTAAAGATCTTGGTTGTTTAAAGACTAATGGATTAGTATTGAATTCACTAGTCGGGAATGTTAGTGTAAAAAGTGATAGAACAAATCCTAAGGGCTTGGATTGTGAAGGATGCACCTTAAGTAGTCTTATGAGATGTCTTAAGGTAGGAATGGGTAACCGCTAAATTACATTAGGAGTAGGCCTCATAGGCTACTCAAGATAGAGAAAACCTAGGCATAGAATTTGCTTAGTGAGTAGTATCGTGACTAGAGGAAGCCTCTATCACGATGAGGAATGACTGGAGGAAGCCTCCAGCATTCGTGTAGGACGACTAGAGGAAGCCTCTAGCGTAGTGTAAGATGACTAGAGGAAGCCTCTAGCATAATGTAATGTGACTGGAGGAAGCCTCCAGCACAAAGTATGTAAGGTGATTAGAGGAAGCCTCTAACACCGAATGTAGTGACTAGAGTCAGCCTCTAGCACGACAAAACATGACTAGAGGAAGCCTCTAGCATGGTAAACTGATATAGATGGGTGTGGCTTGAAGTCACGGGGGAAGGGTTAAATGTTTTCAAAGTAAACATGAGCCTTCGGCCGATTACTTGACTTTATATATAAAGTAAGTATATTTGTAAAGAGGGTAACCACGAGTTATGACCTATATTGTAATATCACCCTATTTGAGGGTCTTGGAAATTGAAACGTTGATTATACTTAGTATAGTTGTCATTGTACTTGTCAAATGCTTCCAAGTACTGACCTCCCCTTCACGGGGGAGGCCACCTCACAGTTTCAGGTAGGACTTGAAGGTTGCTACCACGCCCGTTGCTTCGGGAAGATCAAAGGAGGAGGACGTGGTTCGTGCTTCTTCCGTTTCTGTTTTAAACAATTACAATAATGCTCATGGAAATTATTTTGAATACTATTTGGGGGCTTGTATGCCCATGTTTGCCACGTGTGGCTTGAATACGTGTATTAATGTTTCCGCTGCTTTAAATGAATATTTTACATTATGTTTGTTTATGGATGTACTATGTGTGAATGGTATTCAAGACGCCTAGTATAGTATGGATGAGTTGGACTGCGGTTGACTATTCGTACTGTACGGCGGGTTGTTGACGTGTCCGGTAGGTCCGGGGCGTGACAATTTAATTGGTATCAGAGCCTTAGTCCGTAAACTTCATAATGAAGCTTCAAAATCCCTTTTGAAAATGATTTTGAAAACCATGAGCATAAAAGTTTTGTACTTATAGAACTTTTGGTACTTGAGTTGCAAAGTCTCTAATTGTTAAGATGGTACCCTTAACAATTGGTATGACGGTGATTTGAGCCGAAAGGTGTCTTTAAGTACCTATCCGTCACTTGACATTTGATACGAGCCTAATGGCTCATTCTAAACTTCTTTCAGAAATGGAACGCACCGGTAGAGTGACTCGACGGAACCCGACTGGCCAGGTGCTGGGAGGATCCCAACGTGGCAGTCAGGGGGGATCAAGAGAGTCTGGGGGACAGGGCCGAGCAGGCCACTCGCTGACCGTGAGTGACGGTCACGTGGAAACAATAGATGAGTACTATGAGTCCGAGGAGGATTCAACTTACCAACCGGGAACTGAGCCGGTTGACACCCCATATGATGGGGAACATGATGATGCTAGTGATGAGAGTGATGATAATGACGCTCTTGAACGGATTGAGGAATTGCTCCGGCAATACCAACAAGATCGCCAAAGGCGCCGGGCAAGGCGTGCTTTGGAAGGGGCTTCGAGGAGAGGAAGCCGCGCGACTCCTAGGGAGAGCATTGAACTCCGAGGAGGTCGAGGTGCCGAGGTTCCTATCATAAGGATCTCAAAGTACCTAAAGGAGGCAAGAGACTTGGGATGTAAACCGTTTGATGGAACGAGAGACATCTCCGTGGCGGCCGAGTGGATCAAGAGATTCAATGAAGCGGCCCTTGATATGCAGCTGCCACCCCATATGAAGATGAGAGTGGCAACAAGATTGCTAGAAGGAATGGCGTCCACGTGGTGGGACGGTGTCAAAGGGAAGTACGGTGAGGCGGTCACTTGGGAGAACTTCAGGCAAGAATTCTTTAGCCAATACTACTCCGACTTCGAGGTGAACTTGAAGAGGAGGGAGTACACGAATTTGACCCAAGGAGGGGAATGCACGGTGAAGGAACTTGAACACAAGTTCAGAAAGCTTGCTGAGTTCATACCGGAGTACATTTGTGATGAAAATCGGATGGTGAACCATTTCTGGGATGCCTTGGACCTTGACATACGTGAGAGGGCAACACAATTGCCTAATATGGCATTTAGTCAAGTGGTGGAACAAGGTTTGAAGGGAGAGAAGGAGTGGGAAGAGAGGAAGCGAAGAAATGCCGAGGAGGCAAAGAAAAGAAAATGGGAGAACCATGGCCCCCAAGGTTCAAACAAGAAGATGAATCACGGGGGAGGAGGATCCTTCAGGGCACCCGCACCACCATCAAGGGGGAATCCCAACATGGGTGGGCAAAACTCGGGGTTACAAGCCTCGACGAAGCCTAAGTGCAGGAATTGCAAGAGAAATCACGAGGGCAAATGTCGCGATCCCCCACGGTGCTACCAATGCGGAGATACGGGGCACATAAGGCCCAATTGCCCTCAACTTGGTGGGGACCGGTCATCAGGACCAAGCAGTGCAACCACAGTGAGTAGAAACCGGGATGGGGCACCAAATGCAAGCGCGGGCCACGGCGGGGCAAGTACAAGCAACGCACTCTCCGTGAACCAAGGAAGAACTCAAGCGAGAGTGTACGCAATGACCGAGGCCGATGCTCGGGCTAATCCCGACTCCGTCGCAGGTAATACGCTTATTCTGGTCATTTCTAGGCTTACTTTGATCATATACGTCGTTGGGATTGAGTGCGGGCCACCCCGGGGTCAAACCGGGCAAGTTAGACCAAATTCGGCTGGAAACAGCCACTGCCGGCCAGGCACGGCCGCAGGCACGCCGTGCGTGGCACCGTGCCTGGAGGGCAGTGGCTCCCCGAAGAAAATTTGGCCAGGCACGGCCGCAGGCACGCCGTGCGTGGCACCGTGCCTGGAAGGCAGTGGCTCCCCGAAGAAAATTTGGCCAGGCACGGCCGCAGGCACGCCGTGCGTGGCACCGTGCCTGGAAGGCAGTGGCGCCCCGAAGAAAATTTGGCCAGGCACGGCCGCAGGCACGCCGTGCCTGGCACCGTGCCTGGGAGGCAGTGGCTGGCAGGGAGAATCCTGTGCACGCACGGCCGTGCGTGCCACCCAGGCACGCCGTGCGTGGACCCCCGGCAACCGAAAACTCATTTTTTCGCTCCGTTCTTCTACGTTTGGACCCCCGATTGATTCCAAACAGTAATATGAACCTAATAACCTCCTAATGATGTGTAAAAACATTAGAAAAGGTATCCCACATGACTATAAATGTAGGAACACTAAAGATTAATGGGAAGCATGCGCGAATCCTTATCGATACCGGAGCGCAACGCTCATTCGTAAGTGAGGCGTTCGCCGAGGGCTCAGAGATACAATCAATACCAATGACGCGAACTTTAGTGGTATCAACACGACTAAGGGAAGACGTTGAAAGAACCAAGTACTATCAGTCTTGTATGGTGGAAATCGGTGGCCAAACCTTGACGTGTGATTTCGTACCGCTGAGTATGATGGAGTTCGATGCAATCCTAGGGATGGATTGACTAGAAAAGCATCATGCTAGGGTAGATTGCGACACAAAGGTCTTGGGACTCGAAGGCAATGATGGGGATACCCTACGCTTCGAGGGGGACCGAGGCAAATCAAACAGCTGTATCATATCCGCTGTGAGAGCGAGAAGTATGATGAGAAAGGGATGTCACGCTTATTTAGCATAAGTGGTTGACAAGACCAAGGAGGAAACGAACATCGACGATGTGAGGGTGGTTTGTAAGTACCCGGATGTCTTCCCAAAGGACCTGCCGGGGCTTCCACCTGATAGGGAGATTGAATTTGTGATCGAGGTCGAGCCCGGCACCAAACCAATCTCCATACCGTCATACCGTATGGCACCCGCTAAACATAACGAGTTGAAAACCCAATTGCAAGAGCTTTTGGATAATGGCTTCATTAGACCAAGCCACTCCCCGTGGGAAGCACCGATTCTTTTTGTGAAAGAGAAAGATGGGACACTTCGAATGTGCATTGACTATCGTCAACTGAACAAGGTCACAATCAAGAATAGGTATCCTTTGCCTAGGATTGATGACTTGTTTGATCAACTACGAGGAACAACTGTGTTTTCAAAGATTGACTTGAGGTCGGGGTACCATCAATCGAAGATTAAGGAGGATGACATACCAAGGAGTGCTTCCCGCAGAAGGTATGGGCACTTTGAGTTCCTTGTTATGTCGTTTGGGTTAACAAACGCCCCAGCAGCAGTCATGGACTTGATGAACCGAGTATTCCATAAATACTTGGATCGATTCGTGATTGTGTTCATAGATGACATTTTGATTTACTCAAAGAGTAAGGAAGAGCATGAAGAGCACTTGATACTCGTTCTTGAGACACTACGGGAGAAGCAACTTTATGCCAAATTTTCTAAATGTGAATTTTGGCTAAAGGAAATTGGCTTCCTCGGGCATGTAGTTTCAGGATCGGGAATTGCTGTTGATAATAAGAAGATAGGGGCCATTACCGAATGGGAGAGACCAAAGAACGTCAAGGAAATTCGTGGTTCCCTTGGGTTAGCAGGCTACTACAGGAAGTTCGTGGAGAAACTCTCCGTTTTGGCATCACCATTGACAAAGCTCACTCTTAAAGGAGCTAAGTTTGTATGGGATGACAAATGTGAGAAGGAGTTCATTGAACTAAAGGAGAGATTGACCGAGGCACCGGTACTTGCATTACCCAAACAGGGTATGGGGTACGATGTCTATAGTGACGCGAGCATCCAAGGGCTTGGATGGGTGTTGATGCAGGAGGGGAGGGTAAATGCCTATGCTTCACGACAGTTGAAGAAGCAGGAGGTGAATTACCCTACCCATGATCTAGAGCTGGGAGCAGTGGTGTTTGCACAGAAAATTTGGAGACATTATCTCTACGGAGAGACATGTCACCTATATACTGATCATAAGAGCTTGAAGTATGTGTTTACTCAGAAAGAGTTAAGACATGAGACAGAGAGGGTGGATGGAGTTGATAAAGGACTACCATCTAGTTATTGAGTACCATCCAGGTAAGGCAAACGTTGTAGCAGATGCCCTCAGTCGGAAGAGTTGTCTGGGGCATTGTCGACTTGTTTGAGGGCATTGAGGGGAACTACGCTGTGCAACCAATCAAGGTCACCAATAGAAAAGTGAAGAAACTGAGGAGCAAAGAGGTCCCAATGGTTAAAGTACTTTGGAAGAGCGATCAGGTCGAAGGGGAGACATGGGAAACAGAGGCTTTGATGAGGAAGCAGTATGCTTTCCTATTCGAGTAGAGCTGTGAATTTCGGGGACGAAATTCCTGTTAAGGGGGGGGGGGGGGGGGTGAACTTGTGACACCGCACCCGAACGTCCTTGAAAACTTGATTTTAAAATTCAAAGTTTATGTATTGGATTTCTGATTCCCAAACGATTGTAAAACGATTAATGTTTTACGTAATTAATGATCGATTATTGTACTGTTCGAACTCGTATATAAGTATCGGGCCTTATTAATAAATAAAAGAGCCTAACATTATCTAAATATTAATACATAACGTTTCAAGACAAGTTGAGGAAGGGCGGGCGGCCCAGATATTATTTTGGGCTCAACCCGCTAGAATAGCAAGTATTCGAGAATGGCGTCGTAGGCCCACTCGGGGGCGACCCACACGGCTTGTAGCCTAATAATATGAATGGCAAATGTCAAAATAAGTGATAGGATGATTTGAGAAGAATACAAATGCCTATAACCCCATCTTTGGCATTATTGAGCTAAATAATGGGAGTAGGGTTTTTCTTCTATAATATTCATCATGTAAATTATTGGGATGATCATACACATATTGGAGATCAATAATATGATGTAGAGAGTTGACTTGTTCCAAATAAATTAGAATGAGTACAAAGAGACATCTTATGACAAAGAGATCAAAAGTGAGACCCACCCATGTCTAAAAACATCTCATGGAGACCATACCAATTCATTTCACTCCACACAACTTATCCACCCTTATTGAAGGGTCTTGGACACTCCCTTAAGCCCCTCATTCGAACTCCCAAGGATAAGGGAGAAAGAGAGAGCCACACAACCAAGAAAGCAAGAGGAAGGGGAAGCTGCCGCAGGTTCGTTTTCCAGTGCGTAAGGTTACTTGTTTGCTTCATATCTCGAGCTATACACATCCAAATAAGGCGTGAGAGATACCCACAGAAAGCTCTCAAGACGAGGAATCCGTGAAGGTCTGGTTTGCATCAATCGGAGTAGTGGAAGGCTTTCAAATCGTCCGAGCAAAACACAACCTCGCGGAATACGTTTTTGTATTCAAAGTAAGTTTGAATCCAAAACCTTCCTCTCTATTGTCTAAACCATATAAATGATTGAAGAACTATTATACACTGATTGAAGTGTATAAAATGTTATTATAAAGTGACTTTAATTGTTGGAAAAGTTAGATACTAATCTAGACAAAACCTTGAAAGGTTAGGGAACGATTTCGTCGGGAAACACCCGTTCTAGGGACTGTTTTTGTGTCTTCGGTTAGGAGTTGAACTAGCACTTTGAAGAGGCTGTTTAACACTCAATTCCAAGCAAGGAATCAGTCCTCAATCTTTCTTGGCCGAGGCTTTGGTCATTGGATCGAGAAGGAAAGTTTCAAAGCTCATTTGAGGTGAGGATGACCGACTATATTGTTTATAATCTTTGGGTTAATTTCATAAGATTACCTAAAGTAATTAAATGTGATTTTCATAGGTTATTAATGATTAGTAATGCCTAAATGGAAATATTATGGTTTGTGAATAGAAGATGCATAACATACAAGTTTATGAGAAAATTGTGTATGATGATGCATTACAAATATGATGGTATAATGATTGTGCAAACCATGAATTTATGTGATAAAATATACTTTTACTTCATGTGTAGAAATCATGAATGGATAAAAGTGATATTTTTATATTGAGATTAAATCCTACACGGAGTGGAAGATCCGTAGGAATGAGCCTTATAACAATGAATTAAAGATCTTGGTTGTTTAAAGACTAATGGATTAGTATTGAATTCACTAGTCGGGAATGTTAGTGTAAAAAGTGATAGAACAAATCCTAAGGGCTTGGATTGTGAAGGATGCACCTTAAGTAGTCTTATGAGATGTCTTAAGGTAGGAATGGGTAACCGCTAAATTACATTAGGAGTAGGCCTCATAGGCTACTCAAGATAGAGAAAACCTAGGCATAGAATTTGCTTAGTGAGTAGTATCGTGACTAGAGGAAGCCTCTATCACGATGAGGAATGACTGGAGGAAGCCTCCAGCATTCGTGTAGGACGACTAGAGGAAGCCTCTAGCGTAGTGTAAGATGACTAGAGGAAGCCTCTAGCATAATGTAATGTGACTGGAGGAAGCCTCCAGCACAAAGTATGTAAGGTGATTAGAGGAAGCCTCTAACACCGAATGTAGTGACTAGAGTCAGCCTCTAGCACGACAAAACATGACTAGAGGAAGCCTCTAGCATGGTAAACTGATATAGATGGGTGTGGCTTGAAGTCACGGGGGAAGGGTTAAATGTTTTCAAAGTAAACATGAGCCTTCGGCCGATTACTTGACTTTATATATAAAGTAAGTATATTTGTAAAGAGGGTAACCACGAGTTATGACCTATATTGTAATATCACCCTATTTGAGGGTCTTGGAAATTGAAACGTTGATTATACTTAGTATAGTTGTCATTGTACTTGTCAAATGCTTCCAAGTACTGACCTCCCCTTCACGGGGGAGGCCACCTCACAGTTTCAGGTAGGACTTGAAGGTTGCTACCACGCCCGTTGCTTCGGGAAGATCAAAGGAGGAGGACGTGGTTCGTGCTTCTTCCGTTTCTGTTTTAAACAATTACAATAATGCTCATGGAAATTATTTTGAATACTATTTGGGGGCTTGTATGCCCATGTTTGCCACGTGTGGCTTGAATACGTGTATTAATGTTTCCGCTGTTTTAAATGAATATTTTACATTATGTTTGTTTATGGATGTACTATGTGTGAATGGTATTCAAGACGCCTAGTATAGTATGGATGAGTTGGACTGCGGTTGACTATTCGTACTGTACGGCGGGTTGTTGACGTGTCCGGTAGGTCCGGGGCGTGACATCTGAGCTGGAAGAGAAGCCTTCTCACAGTGGTATCAGAGACACGGAGGGACTGCCAAGTCGGTCTAGAAGCTTCCAGTCTGTCCAGTTTGCTGCCGCCAGGGAGGTGCCGCTGCAGCCTTCCAGCCTCTGGCGCCGAGCTCTATAGCGGCCCATGCTGCCTAAGGTAAGTCGGCTAACCCAACCTCGGTCCCCGCTCAAGTAAATTGGCGATAAACATCCTTGGTATACCGGAGTGCCACCGGATTTATTCTCCCCCCCCCCCCCCCCCCCGCTCCCCCGCTGCTGACCTACGTGGTCTTGGATGCCGACTGTGTCCGGCCCCCAGGTACGCTTGCTAATCCTTTGTGTGATTATTATTTGTAGTTCATTCATTTTAATTTCAAGTTGAATTTCGTTTACTTGTTTGTTGAATTGTGATTACTTGTTATTAAATTCGTGGATTAATTTTTCCGATTAAGAATATTTTGTTTGGATACTCGTTGTCCAAAGGTGTGAATATTTCTTTCCGGTTTAAATTTAATCCGTTTTGAGTTTTTATTTTCTGTCCATTGATTCGTGGATAAATTTCCGGTTTAGAATATTTTGTTCGGATACTTGTTGTCTGAAGTGGTGAATATTTCTTTCCGGATTAGATTTATTCTCGTTTCATTGATTGTTGATTTAATTTTAGCCTATTTGTGCTTGTATGAAAGAAAAAGGAGATTTTACCCGAGCTTTGTGTTCATTGGTCTTCTCGGCTTGTTCGTGCTAGTTGCTTCGAAACAATTTATAGCCCTATAGGTTTTAATTAAATCTCTTGTCTATTTTTTTTGAAAAGGTAACTTTTATTAATGAATAGAAAAAAAAGAGTAGAGAAAAGAGGAAAAAAGACAAAAGAAAAAGGAAAGCAAATAGAAACAAAATAACAGTAATACCCAAACCCAAAGAATAGCAAAAGCCCTCCCAAACTAAAACTTTAACCCTTAGCCAACTCCTCATAGCTTTGCACGTGTTTGAGATCTAGTTCTCATAAGATGAGATCGTTGATTCCTCTTTGTGTACATTCTTTTTTGAGTGTTCAAATTTTGAGTTGGCATACATTTGTCTCGCATGACCAATAGAGTTTTTTGACAAATCATCTCATTTGTATCTGAATCCCAAAGATCATCCACCGTTAAAATAGGAACTCTCTTTTCATTTTCTGAGACATGACCAAGAAATTCATCCTCCGAAAATATGGAGTTTGGGCTGCCATAAGCCCCCTCACGGTCAAAGCATCAGTAAGGTTACTTGTAGGATATACGGAAACCCTTCCTTGTTTATTTCCAATACCGCCACTTGAATCTAAAATTCCTATCCCAATATCATTTTGTTCTGAAGTATTCTCTTTTGAGTCTTTTCCGTCATGACTGGGTCCCAAGGTCAAATTACCCAAAGTAGAAGTAAGAAGTCTCTCAAATTCAAAAAGTAGATATTGAGAAAGTGAGTTCACCCCATTCGTCAAAAGCGTCCTGGAAGAAATCTTTGGGAGTGTAGACTCATCATTGTTTTGCTCAGAGTTGTGAATATCTTCTACAGAAACCAAATCCAAAGAGCAATCTCCAAGATGATCAATATCCGCTTGAAGTAACATACCCGAAATGGAGAGCTCAACTTCACGGGAGTGATAATCCCCATCATAAGGTAGAAACTAGAAAGTCCAAATTCATATTAGACCCCCAAATATCCGGAAAAGCATCTCCTATATCATGTTAAATTGCTAATTTTTTGGAATCAATTGAGTTCATCAAGGTAATTGCTTTTGTAATCCCTGAAAGAAAAAGGTTAATCCCTTGTCCATTCCTACCCTCTGGAATAAAGAGAGAATCTCGTCTCTTTTCAATAATTCGGATGAATCCTCCAAAGAAATTAGCATCATAAAAAGCAATAAGGGAATTACGCAGCTCCATCCTAGTACCCGAAAATCTATTACACGAAAATATCTTGAGTATGGAGTTCTTCAGCCAATTAACCGTATCAATATCGAGATGTATAGTAGAAGAAATACCATGCTTCCTTTTAGAAATGTGAACCTCATTACAATCAATAATTTTAAAATGAAAACTTTTGCCTTCAATATAAATATCAAATTCATCTTATTTTGTTTGAATGAGTTCGCAAATCTCCATTAAACCCGCATATTAATTCATCTTCAAACTGTCTATAAATATTAATAAATATTTATTAATTAATGGAGAAGACACATATCTATAAATTTGTTAAGTAAATACAATTGGAGAGTTTCAAGATGTGTCAGTTGAACTGTAAAAATAGTTTTGTGCCGATGAGAAATATAGAATTTGACAGTTTGAAGAAGTTTTATGTCTATTTTGTTTGATAATTAGTTTTTTCTTTTTCGACAGTGAATTAATGATTGTAATATACTCAATTACTCAAGTTTTTGTTGTTATTCAATGAATTCTTAATTTTTGGTTTTTAATTGTCATGATTTCTCTTTATAATTTATTTATTTTGTCTTTCAAGTTAGACCATTTATATTCACCCGTTACTCACCCGATCCACCCGATAACCCGTTCATGATGGATGAGTTGGATGTGGATGTAATTTTTAATGGATGATGGATGAGTTGGATGTGGATGTAATTTTTAATGGATGATGGACGAGTGGGTGGAGTATGAAAAATTAACGGGTGGACGTGGATGAGCCTTCATCCGGTATAAATCCGACCCGTTGCCACCCCTACGTATTATTTTATCTGTGCTTCTACGAAAGAACAAGAAGATTGTACCGGAACTTTGTGTTCATTGGTCTTCTCGGCTTGTTTGTGCTAATTGCTTCATACTGTTTGTAGCTGGATAAATTTTTCCCTGCAATAAATATAAATTTATTGCAGAGAAAAATAATAAAAATACCCCAAACTTTAAAGGGGTGTGAGCTCAGCACCCCAAACTTGCATATGTAATTTAAATACCCCAAACTTTGTATAAAAAGTTATTTTAGCACCATAGTCAAGTATTAGTTTTTTTCAAAAATGTAAATTTATGGTGTTCATTGCATAATTTAAAATATTTTAGAATTCATGAATGAAGACACAATTTCTATTTTAAATTATGCAATTAATCCCTTTAAAGTTTGGTGTATTTTTATTATTTTTCCCTTTATTGCAATAGTGTACATAATTTAAAATACTCTAAGCTTTGTTTGGATGCAGTTAACCATCTAAAAGTTCATTTAGGAATAGATAATATTACATCTAGATCTGATACAATATAATTTTAATTACATCAACATAAGTGTTTTGTGTATTTTATATTATTTACTTAACATCATCAAATTATATTTGTGAAAACATTACACGATCATGGTGTGAAAATAACTTTTAGAATAAAAAGATGGGGTATATATAATACATGTGCAAATTTGAGGTATTAATAGGTGTGAAAATTATACCTCACACCTCTCAAAGTTTGAGATATTTAAATTATGTATTTTCAACTTGGATTAATAGCGTGCACGGTAAAAAAAGGTTTCTAAACTACACAAATCATAGAACTAATTTTATTATTTCTATATATGAAAGATGATAAAAATTTATGGATTTGATATATTTTTTGTATCAATCAGTAAACAAATAAAAAATTATACGTAGTAGCATTTTAAAACATAAACATTTTTAAAAGTTTTTTCTAAAAAATTCTTTGCATATTCAATATTGGTGTCATATGAAAGATAATTAGAAGTTATAGTTTTTGATTAAAAGTTTGTAATAATTCGAGTACAAATAAAAAGCAATTATGTATTGCTTTAAAAAATTTAAAGTGTTAAGTTATTTTTTATATTTTTGTATATACAATATCAGTGTCATTTGAAAGCTAATAAAAAATGGGATAAGGGTCAAATTTGTACTCGAAGTTGCATAAAAAGAGTCAAATAAGTCCTTAAATAGGAGACTCTGTCCGGCCGTCGCCATTTGGGGCGGTTTGTAGGTGGAATTCATTTACGAATTTTTTTGAGCATCTTATTCATTAACTCTAGTTTACGCATACCAAATTTCAGCTAAAAATTCAACCGGGAAAGCATTCAAATGAATTCTTGAAGATAACTGTGCAGTTATCTTCAAGAATTCATTTGAATGCCTTCCCGATTGAAGGTTTAGCTGAAATTTGGTATGAGTAACTAGACTTAATGAATAAGATGCTCAACAAATTTCATCAAAAAATTCCACCGGGAACCGCCTCAAATGGCGACGGCCGGACAGTAAGGACTTATTTGACCCTTTCTATGCAACTTCGAGTACCAATCTGACCCTTACCTCAATAAAAATTACGAATTTTGATTTATTTTTAGTAACAATTGGACTACAAATAAAAACGTTAAAGCATTTTTTAAAAAAACATGAGATTTTATTTTGGTGGCAACTATAAATAATACTCCGTACTATATAGGAGTTATGTATTGAATTCCTATATGAAAATGTGAAATTCGGGATAGTTAATCATGTAACCGTGTATAGGTTCCTTTAAATTGCAAAGTGCTGTTAACATAAATAATTATGGGATTGACATGTCACATGTCACAATGATTTCCTTAGTTGTAGCCTTGAAATGTACTACGTATTATTTATAGATTTTGCATGAGAACAAAAAAGCAATAACATATGAAATTTTTCCCAAACAAAAAATAAAAAAAAATGTAGTATTTCAAAATAGAGGTATTATTTTTTCCTTGGATAAGTGTAAATGCTGGCATGCTGCCATTCTGAAATCATAATGCCGTATTTTGACATTATCATTTATCATGTATTAGTATGGTAGCAAAAAAAGGTTTAGCATGATTATATTATAGTTGGCGATATTTCTAACAATGACTCGGTAGTACTTTTATTTAAGAAGGCAAATATTGATTTTAGAATCCTCGTATTAAATTGCTCTTAATTATGGGGATTTTCATAATGAATGCAAAGCGATTTTGGCATGCTAATTGAAAGCTCATTTTGGAAAATCTTTACCGTGCATTTTTACGGCAACTTTTCTATAAATTGGGCAATACATCAAAGGTTATTTAATTTATTTACCATTCTCTGAAGAGTTTATTTAATTTGTTTACCATTTTCTGAAGAGGTTATTCAATTTGTTTCCCATTCTCTAAAGACGCATCGGAGGCCGGAACACAATACCATGATGGCTGGAACTCCGGTATATATATGCTTTTCAATAGCTCCTCTTTTTTGCTTTTCCTTTTATTTATTTGCTTTTTTGATAGGTTAGTTGCATTTGTTTGCAATGAGGGGTTACCTATAATGGTACCAACTAAATTTTTGAACAAAATTAAGACTAAATGATCGATCACTAATCAGTAATCACTATAAAACTGTCATCACATATCACTATATTGTAAATTAAGCCACTATTATCATTGCTACAACATCTCCAAAAATATAACTATGATCACTATAATCACTACGTAAGTAAGTATTAGTCAAATATATTATGATTTTTGTCTTAAGCATTGATTTATCATTATCATCACTACAACTGTTTTTTAATTAGTTCATTACATGTAAAGTAACTTGTAAATCGTATATGAAATCCTATTTAAGTAATTTGTGTTTGATAATAAAAAATCCCTTTTATGTAGTTTTTTTTTTGTTACGGGCACTACTTTATGATAGTTATAATATGCCCAATTTATAATATTTTAATTTCGGAGAATTTATAAAATGATAGTTATGTAAAAATGATACCCCAAGTAGCTAATTAACTAAAAAGACGTTATACATGACACTACAAATCACAAACATAAGAATATAAGATCACTTGACAAATCTCCGTAACTTCGAAACTCGAAAGTATGCCCTTTTTTGGACTTTCAATTATTAAACTTGATAGCTACAAATGCGTTTAAGGTTTTTTCGGCCCCAGCCCAATTATTAAATGATTATATTGAACATGCCTGAGACTAAAGAGTAGAGCCTGATGACTTGGGATTTCCACAGGTGGAACAACATGGAGAAGGAGCAGTTAATGAAAAACATCAAAGGGGCGATAGAAATATTATCAGACAACGACTGCTAGTTGTGGCAAATAGGTTGCCAGTCTCGGCAACGAGGAATGCCGATCAGTCTTGGTCACTAGAGATTAGTGCTGGTGGTCTAGTTAGTGCTCTTCTTGGTAAGTCTTTGTTCGACATCGAGCAATTCTTTCTCTACATAAAATTTGTACAGAAATTGTACACTGTCTGTGTACACAGACAATTTGGCATAAAATTCTGCTATTTTTAACACAATGTCTGTGTAAACGGGCAACGGGGGTTATGTACAAGTTGTGTACTAGTTTTGTGTACAAATATAATTATCCTTGTTAGATTATCTTCTTCTTATGATGGTCTATCGTATAATCAACCTAATTGAGTGGGGGCTGATATTTGAAGACAATTTTATTTTGGTAGGTATAAATGAGTTTGAGGCCATATGGATTGGTTGGCCTGGTTTGAATCTCACCAATGATGAGGAAGGGAGGAAGTCACTTGCAAAATCATTAGCCCAAAAGGTGCACTAACCTTGTCTTCTATGCACTTGCATAATCCTTGTTGCCTCTAGTAACAACTAATGTCACATTTAGGATAATTCCCAAAATTTTATCTTACAATGTCACCAATTATATGTTATAGAAATGATTTCCTATTTATTTTTATAATAAATCCCACAAACCATTATCTTACACTATGACATCAATTATAACAGAGATGTGCTCCTGTATTCCTGGATGATGAGATTGTGGATCAGTATTACAATGGTTACTGCAATAACATAATATGGCCGCTTCTACATTATCTTGGACTTCCACAAGACGATCGACTTGCAACGACCAAAACTTTCAAGTCCCAGTTTGATGCATTCAAAAGAGCAAATAACATGTTTGCTGATGTAGTGAGTGAACATTATAAGGATGGTGATATTGTTTGGATTCATGATTATCATCTTATGTTCCTCCCTGAATGTCTAAAGAAGAACAACAGTAAAATGAAAGTGGGCTGGTTTTTGCATACACCATTTCCTTCTTCCGAAATACAAAGGACATTGCCATTCAGTTCAGAGCTGTTGCGTGCAATTCTCTCTGCCGATATGGTTGGGTAAGTTCTGCTGATAATGCACAGTTTTAACTAATTACCTCAAATGATTGATTAATTACCATTTACTGTCTGTTCAACCAATCAATATATGAGTAATACTAATGTTGACAAGAAATTAAACAACATATTGAGTTTACAATGAGGTGATTAAAATAACGTCTTTGCTTTGAATTGTTTCTCCCGGGTGCAATGTACAAAATCAAGAACCTAACAAAGATGGTTAGTTTTATACGGAAACTTGAACAAGGCCTACCTAGTAAGTATGTTTTGTAATATGTCACAGGGCTTTATAGTCACTCTAATTAATAAGGTCTTGAATGATTTGGAATTTACGAGTGAGTTTTGTACATTTCTTCCAAATTAATGTGCATTCTCAGAAAATGCTTTAAATTAGCCGATAATACCATGGATCTTCTCTTACTATTCTCTTTATTAAGACTTGTACTCGTTTTCTTTTTCCTATCTTTGATTCGGACCTCAATAGAGACATCTCTGTACATTTAATATTTTCTATCCTGATATAATACCAGGGATTGTCATTATCTCAGCCTTCTTTTTCTTTTTGTCCTTTAGTTTTCACACTTATGACTATGCAAGACATTTCGTTACTGCGTGTACTCGCATCCTTGGGCTTAAAGGTACTGCTGCAGGAGTAGAGGATCAAGGAAGACTGACTCGTGTAGCTGCGGTATGTTATAGACTATATTGACATTGATTCATCTGGTTACCCTAACACAAAATCATACTTGAAATTCTATGACTTCCATGAATCTATTTCTAAAAGGGTTCGTTTTCATTTTGGTCCACTTCCTTGTCCATAGTTTCCGATTGGAATAGATTCTGACCGATTCATTCGAGCTATCGAAACTGAGTCAGTGCAGAGCCACATGGTAGATTTGATGAAGAGATTTGTGGGGAGAAAGGTATCCTTTCCTTTTCAAAAAATGTATTAAATTTTTAACAACTCTTTTTCTGAAATCCGTGTGTTATTTATTTCTGAAAGAACAAAATTTGTTGTAAGAGTAACTTTAATTTAAAATATATTCAGCTTCATACATGACATGATCTTTCATTATGTTTATACATGACATTTTTCTTCTTCATAATGTGTCTGTCATTTTTAATGACATATAATCTCGTAGTCATTGTTCTATTTTTATTATTCACCAAATATTCAATTAACAGTTGTAAGTTGTCTATATGGGATATTTGATTTGCCTGCTTTCTCTGTTTCCTCCATCCTCCCCGACTATTTAAGTTTACGTAGTATTACTCATGTGCAGTCACCTTCTTACACATTATGCATGCATGTGCTCACGTGCACAAGCTTTCTCTTTTAATCTTTTTATGTTTTTATTTCTTTACAGATCATATTAGGGGTTGATAGACTTGATATGATCAAAGGGATTCCCCAAAAACTACTAGCATTTGAAAATTTTCTTGAGGAAAATCCACAATGGCAAGATAAAGTGGTTTTGCTGCAAATTGCTATCCCAACGAGAACAGATGTTCCTGAGTGTATGTTTTCTTACGTTCCTATGTTCTCTTTTTGAGAGTTTCCATCCTTTGAGGGACATGCAACCAGTAAAACTTATGTTAGTGTCTTTGATCATGCTTGTATAGACCATTAGAAAATCATACATGGTTCGTTCTTGTAAGCAATACATAATAAAAAGGAAAATATAAAATTATACGTAGTAATAAATATGTAATCTCAGTATGAGCTTATAAAGTTACACTTTGATGACTTATTTGACATGGGATATATACTTCAATGCGAAATAAATGTAAGATGTGTATGCATTCTTATAGTTAATATGTAGCTGATCCGAATGGATTGTAGTATCCGCGTTAACATGTGGATCAATTACTCTTTAAGTATGTAGGTACTATCTATATCTATATGCCCATATAATTAGATCTCATTTAATTATTCTTCTCTCTTTACAGATCAAAAGCTAACCAATCAGGTCCATGAGATTGTTGGACGCATCAATGGCAGATTTGGATCTTTATCTGATTTTCCCATTCACCATCTGGTTTGTCTTGTCTTCTATCATTTATGCTTATATAATAATACAAGTAATGCTTAGTGCTCAATGTGCTCATGAACATTAGACATTAACAAACATCTAGACCTACATCAGATTTTAGTGCATGCCATGGAAAATTTTAATACATTTATTACCATTACTTCACTTTATTTTCCTTTGGTAATGAGGCTATGTTGTCAAAATGCTTTTTCTTTTCACTTTTTTGAGTGTGATAACCACCATTTACAAATGTCTCACATAACTTTAGTACCTTCCAAAAGGTGGCCATGCTTCACCTTTTTCACCAACTTTCTACGACCTCATCTCATTGTTGATGATATAATTATGTACTTTTTCTATCGTCTTTATGCCATATCTTGACTTGTTAATGTAACGTCTTGGCAGGACACTTCAATTTCTCTGCTTCAAATATGATTTTCTTGGAAAGTTCTACTTTTCTATGTCAATATATGTTTAAACTTCACAATGTCATTGAATAATTGTCGAAGTCCTATATTGCTCAGTGTTCACTTATTATTTTTTGATAAACAATTAAATCTTGAAATCTGATTTTAGCCATTTATTATGCAACTTGGTAACCATAATTTATTTATCTGCAGGACCGTTCTCTTGACTTTCATGCTTTATGTGCGTTGTATGCTATTACCGGTACTGATTCCAAAACTTCTATTTGCAAACACATATTTATTCCTTATTTTTGGTAATTAGTTATGATCCACATACAAAAATGCCCCAAGAGAGGGTTCAACTGCTCCAATATATAAATAAATTGTATCAAAAGTCAAAACAGTTGTAAACTATGTTCTCATTTTTCCCCACAAAAGAGTCAACTCAATAGTGGAGTTTTACAACTATCTTGCAAGATAGTTGTACCAATCATGAATATAAAGGTCATGTATACCCCTAAAAGTTTTTAGAAAGTTCAAAACTCAACTTTGTACTTTGGACAAAAAAAAAATCTTGAAATATGAATCTGTTTTAGGATAGATGGAGTATATATATTAGAGAAGTTAACTGCAGTGGCCGGCTCCCCAACCTTCTCATTTTTCCAGTGTCGTCATGTGTGAAAAGTACATCATGCTACCAATAATAATCAATATTGTGTCTCACTATCTAACTAAACATTGAAATTTCTTAATGACACTCATGTTTTAATTTGTTTCACTCCTCTGATTAACCAGATGTAGCACTTATCACATCTATACGTGACGGAATGAACCTTGTCAGCTATGAGTTCGTGGCTTGTCAATCATTAAAAAAGGGGGTTCTTATCCTTAGTGAAGTAATTATCATGCTCCTTTTACATTCTCTAAATATTGAAACATTTTCTATTTTCTGTAACTTAAAAACTCATTTAACATGAACCCATTATTCTAAAACTCGCTACGCGCTAGTCGGGCGGTTGAGGGGCGCCTAGCGCCTAGGCGGCCGACTAGGCCGATTTTTTGGCCGACTAGGCCGATGTTTTGACCGACTAGGCCGACTAGGCCTCTACAGTTAGGTCCGACTAGGGCGCCTAGGCCGATTAGTCGGTCCGCCTAGGCCGATTTTTAGAACAGTGCATGAACCTAGACCTTTGTGATTACTAAAGCACTCCAATTCTGTTTTTAAAATAGCTAATGCATGTTTTTATTTTGGGGTTCCTTTTGGGCATATTTGCAGTTTGCAGGTGCTGCACAATCTTTGGGAGCTGGATCCCTCCTTGTTAATCCTTGGAATGTCTCAGAGGTTGCAGCTTCTATCAAAGAGGCCTTAGATATGCCTGCTGATGAACGTGAAAAACGTCACCTGCTTAACTTTACACATGTGACAACCCATACTTCTCAAAAATGGGCAGAAACTTTTGTGAGGTTTGTAGACTTAACTAATTAATTGGCTTTATTTTTTTTTAGTGAAATGGACAAACATTTCCAAAATTTTGTCACAAAAGAACAAAAAAATTCATTGAATCATGTCGTTCAAAATCAAGAGCCAATGTTATTAATACCTCCGTCCCAATTTTAAATGTCTTTTTTCGGATATTTAAGCGAAGTTAAAATTAATCCTCCTATAATAATATACTTGACCAAGTTTTGCCATCTAAACTTGCATACATAGAACTTGCACTAGGAGTTATATTGAATTTCAATAAATTAATTTGGTTATAACAAAAACTTCAAACATAAAATGTGATATAAAAAAACAGCTTAGTTTACCCCAATTTCAAATTATGATTGAGGGAGTATATATGAAAGAGAACCAATAATGGCCAGTTGGTTTCCCTGCCAATATGCTCACATTCTGTCTTTTCCTGTTGGTGGCAGTGAATTAAATGGCACTGTTCTTGAAGCTCAGCAAAGGATAAGAGACGACCCACCAATATTCAATGTCAATAATGCAATTGATCGCTACTTGCAGTCCAATAACCGGCTGTTGATATTGGTATGCTTTTCAATTATTTTTCCTAAATGACAGACATGCATAATCTTGTTATTTTTTGTTATCTCTTTCTCCCTCCATGATAAAGTTTATTGTAATAACTTGTACCAAAACAGTTTAAACCATTGAACTTATATCTTTTTTACACCACAGGGTTTCGATGGGGTGCTAACAGAAATGGTGGATAGCCTTGCAAAAAGAGGTTGCGATCGGGTTAAAGATATGGAACTTAGATTGCATCCCATTTTGAATGGACCTTTAGCGGCATTGTGTAGGGATCCAAAGACAACAATTGTTATTCTCAGTGGAAGTGACAGAACTAACTTAGATGATGTAATTCATCTCTCTCTCTCTCTCTCTCTCTCTCTCTCTCTCTCTCTCCCCTCACCTTAAATAAGTCATTATTCTTAATGAAGTTTGAATAACAAGCGCCTTTTTGCAGATCTTTAGTAAGTACAACATATGGTTGGCAGCAGAGCATGGGATGTTTCTTCGATCTACAAATGGAGAATGGATGACTACAATGCCAGAGCTCCTAAACATGGATTGGGTTTACAGTGTAAAGGTATGAGCAATACATCTATGATATAATGTTATACACACTCACACACACATACATTAGGACACCGCAACCCAATCAATAATCTCAATTACTAACGTTAATACCAGAATTTATTCGTTCTGTCCAATTTTTTGCATTCCAATGTGAACCTAATCTGGAGTAAATGGGCCCAATTTTAGTTTTTTTTTACATATTCACACATTAAAATGCAAGTGTTATTATGTTGTCTTCATATGAAAGCTGAATTACTGCTATTACATGCAACAAATTTCTACAGCATGTATTTGAGTACTTCACTGAAAGAACACCCGGATCTTATTTTGAGATGCGTGAAACTTCTCTTGTTTGGAACTACAAGTATTCAGGTAAGTAGTGAATCTTTTGACTCATTTTTCTTGTTCTGGATCATTTTCTGTGCGACCATGCCTGCTTACCTTGTGATCGTTTCCTTGATGGTTTAACTTTCAGATGTTGAGTTTGGAAGGTTTCAGGCTAGAGATATGCTACAATATCTCTTCACTGGCTCAATATCTAATTCATCTATAGATATTGTTCAAGGACAATATACTGTTGAGGTTCGAGCCGTTGGTGTTACCAAGGTGATGTCATATACTCATATGAACCCCCCTAAAATGATATTTTGTCTTTTTCAATTGCATCTTACATAGCTCAAGAGGTAATTCTGGATAATATCAACTTTACTAAGGAATGACATCTTTATATTACCCATACAAAACTCATACTCTATCAACTAGATTGTCGTTATAATTCAATTAAACTCTAACAATAAACTATGAGATTAGTTTTGATACTATCATGACCTCTTGACACAAATTGTGATTGATTGTGCCACAGGGAGCAGCAATTGACCGTATACTCGGTGAAATAGTTCACAGTGAATCCATCACAACTCCAATTGATTATGTTCTCTGCATGGGGCATTTTTTTGGAAAGGTAATTTGAATTCTTCTTTTTCACATTGCATAATTATTTTAGGGTCTTTTTATTTCTTTGGAACTAACTAGGCAGGTTGTATGGTGGCTTGGTTTGGGTTACTTCACAGGATGAGGATGTGTACCGATTTTTTGAGCCAGACCTTCCTTGTGATGCAATGGGAGTTCCAAGAACCAAGTTAGGTGATGCAATGATGGCAGGAGCAGAACATGGGGGAGTGATAAAGAATTCATCAAACAAGACTAAGCCAACATCGATCTCTAAAAAAGCAACACAAAACAACCCATCAGGGGATGGACGATGCCAGCCCCCCGAAAATGCTTCATGGAATGTGTTGGATCTCAAGAAGGACAATTACTTCTCATGTGCAGTTGGCCAGACTCGTACAGATGCTCGATATTGCATGAAGACCTCAGGTGATGTCGTGAAATTCCTAATTGACCTGGCTGCAGCATCAATCCCATAAACACCGACTCTATATCAAGGGATGAATTAGTCTAGGCTTCTTAATCATCCTCTTCTTCCTCCGCGTTATCGACCATCAAATCTCTCTAGGGTGTTTGCTTTGTGAAGTTTAGCTTATAGACTTGACAACAATGTTTGAACGTATAATCTCGAACTAATGCAGTGATATATGTTTCATATATGTAAATTTACAGCACTTCTTTAAAAAAACGGATGTAAAATGAAAATAGATATCTAATATGCATTACTTTAATAGTTTTAGTTATTTCCTAAAATAATAGCAAATTTACATAATTAGAATACATATTTTATCGCATAGAATTTTTTTCTTGCAGGACCACAAACTAGGTTATCAAAAATAGATTTGACTTCATTTATACCCAAAAATAGGTTTGACTCCATTTTCTATATCGAAGAGTGCATACCATAGTACATTAGTACTAAAGAAGTAGCACAATGACTAAGGATGTTTTCTTTTGGACTATTTTCAGCCTCAGACAAGACCAGACAAGATCAGATCAGACTAGACTTCTATAGTTATAAAATACACAGAGACCAGACGTTTACCAGACCAGACCAGATCAGACCAGTAAATTTCAGTCCAAAAGAAAACATCCTAAGTGAGAAACTGGGTGACCCATATTACCCATCGAATAAGGCTTGACTTGTCTTGATTCCATATAAGCATTAAGCCCTCTAGAAAAGGCTTCAAATGCTAGGACGATAAAAAGAAGTGGAGATAAGGGATCTCCTTGTTTAACCCCTCTACGAGGTTTAAAAAAAATCCTTGGGGAACACCATTAATCAACACTGATAAAGTTGTTGCTCTGAGGAAATTGTGAATAATTGTAACCAATTGATTTGAAAACCCAAATTTGATTATGATAGCCCACAAGAAATTCCAAGAAACACGATAAAAAAGCCTTGTCCATATCTAATTTAATCACAAAATTACCAGACCCATTATGTCATTTAACAAATTCTTACTCTACTAACAGCTAGCAACAAGTCAAATAGTTAATCTTGATATAAGTACCTTTGTGTCTCAGAAAATGCATCCTTTTAGGATTAAGAGGATTGAAAAGTGAAAACCTTCTTGGTATGAAAAGATCTAATTTACCCCTAAAATATTTGTGTGCCTTTCCGCATAAAGGAAGAAATAAAGTTATCTATTGCAAGGAACTTATTAATAACTTTGAAAAAAAATTGTCTACATGGAAACAGAAGAATCTATGTCAAGGAGGTAGACTTGTCGTAATAAAGCATGTTCTGAACTCCATGCCTGCTCATCTCCTGGCAGTTGACACTCTTCCAAAATCTGTAATTCGAATTTTAGAGAGAAAGATGTCTCAGTTTTTCTGGGGTTCCATGAATGATAAAAGAAAGTATCACTAGAAGAATTGGAAAGATATTTGGCTTCCAACTGATGAGGGAGGTTTGGGGATTGGGTTGTTATCAGACATCGAAAAGGCATACTCTCTTAAACTATGGTGGAAATGGAAAATAAATATCTCCTTTTGGGAAAATTTTTTCCAGGTCAGATATCCTAGGGATAATGCCATTCCAAAGGTTACTCACTCTTTCATTTGGATAAGAATATGTAACATTAATAGTAGGGGAATGTTTAACTGAAACTGGAGAGGATGGAAGGGTAATTTGGTTACCAGATAAAGAGGGTGAATTCTCCTTAGCCTCTGCATATAATGAGATCAGATGGAGAAAAGCAACTACCTTTTCCTGCAAAAATATCTGGCATAAGGATCAAACAACACGGATTAGTTTATTTCAATGGAAACTAATCCACAATGAATGGGGTGATAAGCGTGATAATATGATTTTGGGGCCCACTTATGAGGGAAAAGCTATTGTAACCGATACTGTTCTGGAGAAAACTGACCATCAGCAACCCAAAGTACCAGAGTCTGGATGTCTTGGTGCTCTTTCTGATGCTTTTGTTTGGGATGGCTATTGCGGTGACTCGTGCTATTCATGTTCGGGGGATGAATATCTTGGGCATGTTTCAGAAAATGAGAAAAGGGTTCCAATCTCAACATTGGATGATTTATGGGATTCTGATGCTAATGAAGATATCTGTGTCAAAGCTTTACGGGTTACACAAGATAATTGCTTACCTACACAAAATTTGAACACCCAGAAAAGAATGTTTAGAAAAAAGAATCAGCGATCACATCTTATGAAAACAAGATCGCAATCACGAATAGGGCTTTGAAGAATTGATTGAGGGCACGGAATCATCTAGATAGGGTCATAGGGATTGGCTTTGGGTTGGGTAGTTTCTTATTGGTTTCTTTTTGTTTTTTCTCGTTATTTATCTTTTCTTTTATGTTGTCTATGTACTTTTGCTTGCTTTATTTTAATAAAATTTATTTTAAAAAAAATCCACAACATTCTGCTCATTGGAGAGAATTTACTCAGATTCAAGATTTCTATCTTTCTTACTAGATGTCCTATGTGCAAAAAGGAATATGAATCTATCAACCACATTTTTGTTCACTGTGAATATGCTCAACAAATTTGGATCCAATATATGAAGACTTTTGGAATACCTAGAGGTAATTCTTTCACTTCTATCAGGCAAATGTTACTTTTCTGGTGGATTAAGGCTGGGAATAAATCCTTAATGGATATTTTCAGACAGAACTTCCAAGGAATTTTTGTTTGGCATATATGGAAACTATATTCCGATCTTATGTGGGGAGACCTTAACTCCCTTCCATCTCCAAGAGCTACCATGTTTCTGATTCAAAAATTCTCTCAAGCCTATTCTTACAGATTGAATAAAAGGAAGGAAATTGCATATATTGAGCTTTTAAGATCAGTAAACCTTATTCATGTTGGCTTCAAGTCCAATTCCTTTAAAATCAAATTGGTCTGATGGATAAAACCTATGAGCAGTTTTAAACTGAATGTGGATGCATCCTACTTTCCTCTTGTTGTTGATACGGCTCTCGAAGCGTAACATAGGGTGATTCTTTATGCTTCCAGGCAGGCAACTGAGTTTGGCTTTCTTGATCTCCAGGCAGAGGGGGTGTTTGGATCTGATTCTTAAAACTGCTTATGCTCCTTCATGGAGCAGAAGTAGAAGCTGGAGTATTTGGGTGAAAGTGCAAAAGTGATTTTGGTACTCAAATTTACTCCTAGAATAAGTTTTTTTTTAGAATCTGGGGGTGACCAGCTTCTGAAAACTAATTCTGCTTCTGATTTTAAAAAAGAAGCAGAAGTAGAATCAGTTTCAAACACCCTCAGAGTCGGATTGTCTCCAGGCAATCTTACTGATAATGAATGAAGATTATAGATGAAGATGGAGAGTTTTAGCTGAAGAGATACGTATGGTTTCCAGATTGGTAAGGATCCTCTTCGGACATATGCTTAGAGGAATTGGGCCGCCCATCATTTAGCCCAAATGGATTTCAATACTGGACTGGAGGCTTTTTATTCTCATAAGAATATTGCCTATTATTATTATTATAATTATTATTATTATTATTATTATTATTAAGAGGGTTGTTATTTCCGATTTATTGGGTTTTCCTTATTTAGATATGTTTAATTGGGTAAGGTCCGGTCCCCCTAATTTTTTATTTAATTGTTCTTTCACTCTTCTTTAGTACTTAATGTCTTTTTAATAAAACCTGTAAAATGTTCTCATGCATTTGCCCCACTGATTTTGAAGGTTTACCGACCGGGATAATAATAATAATAAAAAAGAAGTAGCACAATGACCAACTTATGTTCTGATCTTCATGACATAAGTAAATAATACACATCTCCATCTTATATGACATATTAGTACTCATAGTTGTATGTAATTAGATTTATAATTAATTTTATCATGTAATAGTTATATTGAGTAAATTTGATATTATGTAACTACTTTTGTTATGTAATGTTGTTATACGGAATAGGTATGTACCCTCATGTGTAGCTCTACGGAGCTTGAGTGATGTAATTGAGTTGATGTTTCATGTTCAATCCTAGCAATAGGAGTGGAGAGTTTCATCCAATCTGGTGCTTCCGATTATACCGAGATTAATTTACCTTTTCACATTTTCTCGGGTCAGAGTGTGGCGGCATCAAGAGTGAACCTATTGCTCCATTAGTCACATAAAGTTTGGCCAAATTGAGTTTTTCCCGGAATAATGCTAAATAAATAAATAATTCCTAAAATACTAATGGGTTAAAAATAATTCCGAAAATACTGTTGGGATTAACTGTGGTTAAGGAAAGCCGACACTTGAAGTGACGGTTCTTCTCTTGCAGTACAAAAGACGTCACTCCAATCATACATCTGCCCAGACTTTCCTTCTGTCGAGCATACCTCGACTGACACATCATCCGAATGTTCCTCTCCTAAGCTACCAGCCACACCACGCCACCAACCTCCCCAAAATCTCCGACCACCTCCTCTTCTACCCATTCCTTTCGGCCAGCCTCTTTCTTACAACCCATTAGCTCCACACCCCATCGGCAGCACACAACCAATGCTCCCTGTAGCCAAACTGAGACTGTCACCGCACCGGCACCTCCCCATGTGCATGGCCACCCCATGCAAGCATGTTCTATATCTGGCATTATTAAACCAAAATCTATTTTTAATCTTAAAATGGATATTTCGGCATGCGATCCTTCTTTTTTTACAAATGTTAATAAAGATGCTAAATGGGGGCGGCTATGGTTGAGGAGTTTAATGCTCTCATTGACAATCATACATGGGAATTAGTTCTATTTGATCCTCATAAAAATGTGATCGGGTCTAAATGGACTTATAAAACCAAATTTAATTTTGATAGGTCAGTTGAGCGTTATAAAGCGCGTTTGATGGCACAGGGGTTTACTCAACAGACTGGATAGATTTTTCTGAGAAATTTAGTCATGTGATTAAACCCACCACTGTCTCTATTGTTTTATCTCTGGCTATGTCTTTTGGTTGGACTATATGTCAATTAGATTTTAAAAATGCATTTTTTATGGTAATTTGACAGAGGAAGTGTATATGTGTCAACCTCCTAGTTTTATTCATCCTTAATTTCCTAATCATGTGTGTCGTCTAAGGAAGACTATTATTTACGGTCTCAAACAGGCTCCCTCCACAGGTTGAGTAGTTTTCTTTTGACCCATGGTTTTGTCCGTAGCAAGTCTGATATATAATTCTTTGTTTATTTTTCGCCAGGGTCGTCTATTCTTTATCTGCTTCTCTAAGTGGATGATATCATTATCACTGGTGATTCCCCCTCCGTCCTCTCTAGTT